TATAAATCTGGAATTTTTTTAGAGGGGTGTGTGTGTGTGTGTGTGTGTGTGAGAGAGAGAGAGAGGAGAGAGAGAGAGAGAGAGAGAGAGTTAAGCCTTGCCTTTGCTAGGGCCTATTAGGACTTTTCATGGAGCCAAACTGAAACTTGGGAAGAAGCAGAATAGCCCATAGGAGTCTTACAACTGTCAGACTGTGCCATTATGCTGATCGATGGGGTGGGGGAGCAGAGGGAGTTATGTTTTTTTTTGTTTTGTTTTGTTTTGGGGAGGATTTTGCCTCAGGAGTTTGCATCCAGTGACGGCAGAACTTTGGTAGCGTTTCAGAGAGTCAAGATGTCTCCATGTTCTTGTTTAGTTGCTCACAATTTGGCCTTGACTTGAGTACTGAGCCTTTGTTAATATACTGACTTTGTTTGGCTGCAGAGTGTTAAAGAGCCCTGGAGAGCAAGTAAAATGTGATCCGCTGCTGTATCCACCCTGTTCAGTCCTGCTCCACAACCCAAAGCTGCAGTATGTGTGCCAACAAGAGTCATTTTGTTCCATAGGGGGTGGGCAACCTAGCATTTGCGGAGGGGTGAAGTAATTGTTGATCAGCATGGATGTTTTATTTCCTACAGGCAAAGATGAAGAGCTGAGTCTCCTCTTTAGAGATAGTGGTTCTACACCTCCTCCTCCTCCTCCTCCTCAGGCAGGGTGGGGAACTTTTAGCCCTCCAATTTTTTCTTACAACTCCCATCCTCGCTGACCACTGGCTCTGCTGACTGGGGCTGACGGGAGTTGTTGGCATCTGTCTGTCTCAGGAGACAGTCAACATCTGGAGGGGCCTGAGGTTCTCCACCCTGGTCATGGGCTGTGAATAATAACTTAGGGGTGTGTGTGTGTGTGTGTGTGTGTGTGTGTGTGTGTGTTGTTTCGCATCTTCTACACACCATTGTGATTTCCTAGTGAGCAGGGGGGAGGGTGAGGAATGGGTGTTAGTTAAGAGAATAGGGGTCGAAAAGAGCAGTGGAACAGGGGAAAAAACAGGACTGGAGAGCAACAGGCAGAGCTGTGATGGGAGCAGGGGAGAGACATAGCAGAACATCAGGAAGTTTTGGAGAGAAACAAAGCCTTTATTATTAAGACACTGGGTGGGATTCACCTAAGGAGCTCTGTCAATGGAAGCCCTGCTCAATGGGGTTCCCTCCCTCCTCTGGAAATTGGCTCTGAGAGAGTCAGGAGAACCCCAGAACATTGCATGGGGTAAGGAGCAGAGGGAACATTTCATCTGACAAGTTGAAATGCTTGGTCTGTTAGAACATTCCACCCTCTGTTTCTGTGCAGGCTGGAAGTGTTACGTTAAGGAGCTGGGTGGGAGGCAGATGGCTTTATCTTAGCTTGCCCCTTTGCCCACCCACGTTTCTGGAAGGCGTCATGGTGCTGTTGCAAAATCTCTGCAAACTGCTCCCCAGTTGCTCCTGTGTTCATTCTGCTTTCATTCTTGGAAACAAATGTGAGAGGGACTGGGATCTGCAAGACGAAGGAGGGTTTGCTCTCATTCAGACTGAACTTGCCTGGGACTCTTCATGGAAACCTTGGGTGGCAAATGTTGGCGAAGGGAGACCAAGGAAATGTGGCTCACTTAGCTACATCATCCACCCACTTTCTGACAGGTTATGTTCATGATTTTAAGCTTTGAAGCACAGCAGCGACAAAGGCTTGTTACAGGTAGCAGGCATGCCTTTCCCTGTTATTTAGATTCAGTAATGAGAAATAACTGCTGAATAGAAACAACTGAATAGAAATAACTGCTGAATAGATGGATAGATAGTTTTAAAATGTACAACACAAGACTACAACCAACCAACTTATCCAGCCCCTCACTTTCTGAGCATCAGCTTGAGGTTTGGCTATTTTGGCTTCTGCTCCTTTCCTTCTGTCTGTTCCAGACCAGGTGTTTCTCAAACATTTTAAGCTCTCCCCCTTCCCCACAGTTCTATAAATACTCTCCTCTCCCCCAACCCCGGTCCAGCACAAACCATCTGTTTAATGGTTGAGTACTTAAAGATGGTATGTCGCTGGGTGAGTACAACCTGCAGCTGCTACCAAGGATCTGTGGATGGCGTTAAGGCATATGAGAGATGCTTTTTGGATGAGTGGCCTCCCAAGCTCCTTCTTTGCACCCTCCTTCTCTTGTTGTCCTTGGAGCTGCTTTCTTGCCCAGCGCTGGATTTCATAAAAGAGTTCAGTGCCCCTGTCCAGTTCTGGTCCTTGGAATCTGCCTTATGTCCCTTGGCCTCTTCCAGTGAGTGACTATTGTTTGATTGTTCTGGGTAAATCAAGTCATGAAATAGGTGAATGTGAGCAGCCCGCATCCGGGGCTTGATGTATGAGGCTGAAGCGAGCAAGGGAATGATGCAGGCTGGGGCTGGTGCCATGAAGGGTGGAAATCCTGCCCCCTTGCCTGGAGAATGAAGGTTGCTCTATTTGGGCAAGCTCAGCAGAGCTAAGATGGAGGGGCAAGGGTGAGGAGATAACAGCGCTCACTCGGTTCTGGCTCACACTCTCTTGCCTTAACATCCAGACATTCCACAAACACTCTTGGGTTCTCAGATCTTACTTTTTTTCTTTTCTCTGCTGTCTTTCATCCAACGATCACAGGGTGGGTTACAAAATAAAAACAGAAAAATACATAACATAGAATTACAGCATTGGGACCATGAGGACCATCTAGTCCAACCTCCAGCAAGTATTTTGCCCAACGTGGGGCTCAAACCTATGACCCGGAGTCTCATGCTCTACCAACTGAGCCATCTCAGAGCCAGTAACAAAAAGAAAAACAAGCCCACCTTCTCTCTAGAAATTCTCCATACCAGCAGGTGCTAAGGACTGATAGTAACTGTGCCATTCAAAACTAAGCCAATCTCTTCTGCTTTCTTAAATGATCTCCCTGTGGTGCACTTTACAGCCTGGCTGTTGGCTGACATTGGCAGCAGCTCACAATAAATGTCACAGTGTAGATATTCGGTAATGCCTGGATTAGCATCTGCCAGTCTCCTGCTTCAACACCTATCTTGGGGAAAGACTTTGCTCTCTCTTTTTCCTAGTTCCTTGGCTGGTGCTAGACGTGTAAAGTAATCAGGTGCAATATACGCAGGCTGAGATGTTGTTCTACTCTCAATAGCACCCTCTGCAGTACAAAGGAAGGCATTTTGGACATTTTTAACTAGACCCTTTTCCGCTGGCTGCTGAATTAGCTGCAGCTAACACAGATCCTGTGTTAATGAGAGCTCATTTGGGCATTTATAAGAGGACTGACAACAGACTAGGGGTCACTTAGTAGATAACCTGGACTATTCACATTTTGGGGTTTCTGCATCTGATGCAAAATCTCATATGTGGCAAGTATTCTCAAAAATACTTTCATTATAAACAGTGTTCTAGTCCTCATGATTGTCATGTGTTAGAATGCATCCAAGCAAGATCTACAAAAATGTTCCATGTTGGTGAAGGCACTGAACTTTTGTGCCCTATGTGGCTGCTTCTCCCTGCCAATGGTTCCAGTTATAGCACATTCTGGTTCTGTTACTGTCTGTCACTTAACCCCACCTTTCAATTTCTACCAGATTACTCCTTGCTAAAAATAAAAATAATCTCCATCTTCTAGAAAGCTTCAGCTACTGGGTTCAAAGTGAAGCAACTATATGTGCAAAACATTTAGTAGCTTGCAACAAATTTGTACAAGTCCTGCTCACTTATATTTACTGGGTGGCTTACACAGTTTGTCTGGCAAGCTGCTCATCCAACTACGTGCTAGCAGCAAGGCTGGAATAAAGCAGGAAAACTGGATTATTTTATGAAATTTGGGCAAAGTGACAATTGTTCACGTAGAACTGATTAGTAGGGCTGCAAAGTCTTCTGTAGTGATCAGATAGTTTGATTTCTTCTAAATTGCCATGCTAAATAAGGTTCCTTGCTTGGCAACCATTGTTGCTTATGGTACCTTTGTACAAAGGATCCCCCAAGGAAATTCTTAGACACTGGAACTGCCTATCAGACATGGTTCTATCATTCTTTGAAATGGTCTACACTATTTATTCTTGAGTGCAAAGTGCCAGATGACATGAAAAAAGTATTTTATTTTACTTTTTTAAATAAAAAAATACACAGTGTTCTTCCTCCTTCCCCCATGCACCTGCTCCTCACAGACCCTCCACATAGGAAAGAAGCTTCTTCCTGTTCCTGGACCCCTGTCCCATGTGAGAGGGTTGGCAACCATTCCTCATTCTTACTATGACCCCGAGTCTCCTTCTGGGATGCCCCAAGGTCTGACTGTTTATGACCAACACTCTTTTCCAGCTCTATCTTGTTCCAAGATGCAGCTGAGCTGAACACCTCAGTTTCTGCATCTGAGCACTTTGCAAAATACACACTGATTTTTGGATTGGTTTTTACCATGTATGTTAATGTATATGAATATAGTATTCTGAAGTGACAATCCACATGACAAGAGTAAACTAGCCTGAGCTTTTGTTCTCAAGCAAGCCTAGTCCTAGCAGCTAAAACTGAGTTTGTACTACATGCGCGCACGCGGTCTCTCTCTCTCTCTCTCTCTCTCTCTCTCACACACACACACACAGAGTAGCTGGGGTGGGGGGGAGGGATGTGGAAATTAAAAGATCCTTGCTTCACTTATAAGTATGCACTGAAAATATGGCAAAAACCCATCCTTTAACCACACTTTGACCAACTTGGTTGTAAGAAAGGATTATTAGGGTGCTAGGGAGCAATAAATCTGTGACAAATTGTGTATCAAAGTATGCACTCTCGGGTAGTCATCAATACTGTCTTGTTGTATTTTTATTAAAGTGTGATGTATAAATATTTTAATAAACAAACAAAGCATCTTCTTTGAGCTGGCAATATTGCCTAAGATTTGACCGCTGCTGTGTGGATATTTAATTGGATTTTATACTTTTTATGGACTATTATTAACCATTGTTGCCTCCTGTGTGTTTCAGCTGGGATGAGAGTAGCTCCATCAGCAGCGGCCTCAGCGATGCCTCTGACAATCTCAGCTCAGAAGAGTTCAATGCCAGCTCCTCGCTCAATTCCCTGCCTTCCACCCCCACGGCTTCTCGCAGGAACTCCGCCATAGCGGTAGGTAGGACAGGCACCCAGAGAATCCGCCATGTTTTCATGCTGCTGCTGCTGCTGCTGCTGCAGTAGTTTTGGTACCGGAGAAAGAAATTGCATGAAGCCCTGCGCTGTCTTTCTCCTTAAAAGTGTTCTCAGGGGAAAGATGAATACTTCTGCCATTGAATTTCTCCTTATATTGTGTGTGGGGGGGGGGAGCCACAGCCCCCAAAGCACTGAATGCCTATCCCATTTTCTGCCTGCAGATGCAGGAGCGACCAGTGCCTTTGGAACTGAAGGACTGTTTTTTTCTCTCCCATTTGTTAAGCTGGTGTAGTTGTGGGGCTATGATGAGGGGAGGTCTATAACTCTATGGTAGAGCATATTCTATGCATGCGGAAGGTCCCTGGTTCAGTTCCTGGCAGCTCTACTAAAAAAGAAAATACCCAGGTAGCAGAAGATGCAAAAGACTTTCCCCTGAGACCCTGTAGAACTTCCACCAAACAGAACAGACCGTTCCGGGCCAGATGGAGAAATAGCCAGGCCTGGTTTGAGGCAGCTTCCTATGTGCACACAGGAGGCTGGGGGAGTATTTTGGGTGGCAAGGTTAAGGTACCAGCTAACAGAATCCTCTTCTGCTTGCCTTACAGCTGCGCACGGACTCTGAGAAGCGCTCACTGGCAGAGAGTGGGCTGAACTGGTACGGAGAGCCAGAAGAGAAGGCTCAGAAGAAGATGGACTATGACAGCGGGAGCCTGAAAATGGAGCACAGCTCTTCCAAATGGCGACGGGAGCGCTCGGAAAGCTGTGACGAGGCTCCTGCCAAAGGCGGAGATCTGAAAAAGCCAGTCAGTTTGGGCCCACCGGGCTCCTTGAAGAAGGGCAAAACTCCTCCTGTGGCAGTGACCTCTCCCATCACCCACACAGCCCAGACCCTCAAAGTGGCAGGTGAGGTTGGAACAGGAAGTGGAGCCCTAGTGTTAGCTAGGCAGGTTTGTGGCTGCCACCTCCACTTCCTTTTTTTTTTTAATGCATAATTTTTATTAGTTTATACCAAAGCAAACAGAAATAAAAAAGTTCAACATCTTATTTTCACAAATTTTTAGCTTTTTGACTTCCTTCAGCCTCTCCACAAATCATCCATAATCTTCTTTTATGAAGTTACACATATCTTGTTTTATATTGACATTGTTTACCTCAATTCTTCCATTTCTCTTTAGACAATACTCCTATCTTTTCACAGAGCTCCTTTCAACCCCACTAGCGTTATCTGTCCTTCACTTATATTTTCCAGATAATCTGCAAATTTGCCCCAGTCGTCAATGAACCTTTGGTCTTTTAAATATCTAATTTTCCCCGTCATTTTATCCATCTCCGCGTAGTCTAACAATTTAAATCTCCATTCCTCAATTGTCGGTATTTCCCGTTGTTTCCAGTTTTGAGCTAGCAGGACTCTTGCTGCAGTTGTTGCGTATTGGAACAATTTACAGTCTTTATTCTTTATCTCCCTTCCTACTAAACCTAATAGGAAAGCCTCAGGTTTTTTTTCAAAAGTGTATCTTAAGATTTTCTTCATTTCCTTGTATACGCTTTCCCAAAAACCTTTTACCTTTTTGCATTCCCACCACATATGGTAGAAGGACCCCTCTCTTTCCCTGCATTTCCAACATTTGTTGCTGACTTTATACATTTTTGCCAATTTTGCAGGGGTCATGTACCATCGGTAGAACATCTTCATTAGATTCTCCTTCAACGTTATACAAGCTGTAAATTTCAGGTGTTTTTTCCATAGTTTCTCCCACTCTTCATAGTATATATTATGACCGATGTCCCTAGCCCAGTGTATCATCACCGACTTTACTTCCTCGTCTATCAGGTTCCACTCTAGCAGCTGGTTGTACATTTTAGATAGAATTTTCTGGTCATTATTTATTATTTCAATCTGAAATTTGGAATCCTTGTCAGCATACCCTCTATCTTTGGTGTCTTTCCTAAACATTTCATTTATTTGGAAATAGTGTAGCCAGTCATAAACTTTCCCTTTAACCTGATCATACGGTTTCATTTTCCACTTCCCCCCTTCTTTAAGTAACAGTTGTTCGTAAGTAACCCAATCACCTTTCATATTAATCTTTTTGACACTCATAGCTTCTAATGGGGATAGCCAATGGGGGACTTTAGGTTCTAATATGTATCTATTCCTTTCCCATACTTCAATCAGAGGACCTCTAAAGATGTGACTTTCGAAACCCTTATGTACTTTCTTCTTTTCATACCACAAATACGCGTGCCACCCGAATCTGTTGTCGAATCCCTCCAGATCTAGCACCTCCTTATTTTCCAGTTTTATCCACGTTTTCAACCAGCAAAGGCACGATGCCTCATAGTATAATCTTAGATCTGGCAGGGCAAAACCTCCCCTTTCTTTTGCTTCTGTCAAAAGTTTAAACTTAATTCTCGGCCTTTTGCCCTGCCAGACATATTTTGAGATCTCTCTCTGCCATTCTTTAAATATCTTCATGCCCTTAATTACCGGTATATTCTGGAATAAAAACAACATTTTTGGGAGCACATTCATCTTGATTGTGGCTATTCTGCCCCAGAATGACAGTTTCAGCTTCCCCCACACCTCAAGATCCTTTTTTATTCCTTTCCATACCAACTCATAATTATTCTTGAATAAATCTATATTTTTTGGTGTTACCCATATTCCTAAATATTTCACCTTTTTAGTCACCTCTATCTCTGTTTGTTGTTGTAGTTCTTCGGTTGCACTTAAGTCCATATTCTTCGCCATTATTTTGGTCTTTTTCTTATTTAATTAAAAACCAGCCACTTTGCCAAATTGTTCAATTTCTTCTAATACCTCTTTTATTGAACTCGTCGGGTCTTCCATTGTTATTACCAAATCGTCTGCGAATGCCTTAACTTTATATTCATTTTGGCCAATTGTTATCCCTTTTATCTCCTTGTTTTGTCTTATTGAGTTTAAGAGGACTTCCAACACTCCACTTCCTGCCACCTTCCTGCCACCTCCACTTCCTTGCCTGTTTTGTTTGCTTCCCATTCATCTTGAGAGTGCAGTCAAAGGTGCATGACTAACTGTAGGCCACAGAGAAAGAAGGGAGCCTGGAATGTGCTCGATACATCCTAGGACTGCATCTCATCTCAGTAAAGTCTTTGATCATGTTCCCTGAAACAAAATCAGTACAATTTAGCTTGGGAGATGGTTGTACTGACGTGTGCCCTGACATTGTGCTCATTTTGGTGCAGGGACTGGCTGTCCTGACTAAGTACCTTTTTGATAAGTTTCTTTTGGTCACCTAAGAAGCTGCGTGCACAAATGCCTTTTCTTCAAACTGAGTTATTTCTCCTGCAGGTAAACCTGAAGCAAAAGCAACAGACAAGAACAAGCTTTCAGTGAAGAACGCCAGCCTGCAGCGCTCATCGTCTGATGCTGGCCGAGATCGGATTTCAGATGCCAAGAAGCCCCCTTCTGGGCTGACCCGGACCACAACTTCCGGCTCTTTTGGCTACAAGAAGCCACCTCCTGCAACTGGCACTGCCACGGTGATGCAAGCTGGTGGCTCGGCCACCCTTGGTAAGATCCAGAAGACTTCTAGCATCCCAGTCAAGCCAGTCAATGGAAGGAAAACCAGCTTGGATGTCTCTAATGCTGGGGAGCCTGGCTTCATGGCCCCAGGGGCCCGTACCAACATCCAGTACCGGAGCCTGCCACGCCCAGCCAAATCTAGTTCCATGAGCGTGACTGGTGGACGCAGTGGGCCACGGCCAGTGAGCAGCAGCATTGACCCCAGCCTGCTCAGCACAAAAGGAAGCATCAGCGTCTCACGGCTGAAAGAGCCCTCTAAGATTGGCACAGGCCGGAGCACGCCAGTGCCAGTGAATCAGACGGACAGGGAGAAGGAGAAAGCCAAAGCGAAAGCTGTGGCCCTGGACTCTGACTGCGTCTCACTCAAGAGTATCGGCTCCCCTGAAAGCACCCCGAAGGCTCAAGGTGGGCACCAGACTTCTGCTAAAGTGGCTGAGTTGCCACCAACTCCACTCAGGTAAGAAGAATTGTGGGTGTTGATTATAATATCGTGATTATGATTTAACAGGTAGAAGATAGGGTTCAGCAGAAGGGGAGAGTGGGAAGTCGACAAAAATAAGAGAAAAGACGAAATTGTGTTTTGATTGTATATGTTGAAAATGTTGAAACTTAATAAAATATAATTGGGAGAAAAAAGAATTGTTGTCAGGGACTGAACTGAGGAGGAATGGTGGGAACCGCTCCCCCTTTTTCTGAACCTTCCCAAGGGCAGGAGGACAGTATTGATTTAGAGCAGAGGTTTACAGAGGGGCATAGTCCAGAGGGGAAAAGCTGGGTGAAGAACAACTAGAAGAGGAAATACCAGGAGAGAGACAACTGACAGATTCAGTGTCCTTGGACAGCATTCATGACCCCCCTTCAACTAAGACTAGACGGGCTTAGAAAGTGATAGAAAAGAAAGCTCAGATTACCCGACATTGGAGTGACATAGATTAATGGTGACGGAGGGGGTGAACCTTTACTGGGAGCAACACCATTTTTAGAGAGATATGTATTCCTTTGTCTCTCACTGTGATTATTAGAGAACTTATCTAGTAAGAACATTCCTTTTGTTTGATCTGCTTATTTACTGCCACCGGGGGAGGGATCCGATTCCCCGTAGCCTGACAATTGTGGGTGTTTCTAGCAGGCCTATGGCTGGGTTAAGAAATTTGTTAAACAAATAAATAAAAGGTACGATAAGAGCCATGCAAAGCTCCAAGTCTCTGCTCACAGTCGCCTTCTAACACCATGTTGCTTTCCTTCAGGTCAGCTGCCAAAAGCTACGTGAAAGCTCCTTCTCTGGCCAACCTGGACAAGGTGAACTCCAACAGTCTGGACCTCCCTCCCTCCAGCGAACACCAGATGCACGGTGGCAAACTGCACGAGTCCCATCCAGCTGCAGCAAACGTGGGCCCCCACCTCACGTCGTGCTTCACGCCAAGCCCTGCTCCGGTCCTTAACATAAACTCTGCTAGCTTCTCCCAGGGCCTGGAGCTCATGGGAGGCTTCAGCATCCCCAAGGAATCCCGCATGTACCCCAAGCTCTCAGGGTTGCACAGGAGCATGGAGTCCTTGCAGATGCCTATGAGCCTGCACAGCCCCTTCTCTGCAGGCAATACAACTGCTCCCACCACTGCTCCCACCCCTCCCGTTGTGGCTGCTGAGGAGGAACCCAGTGAGATGTCCTGGACGGGGAGCCCCAGGATCACACACCTGGACAGGTAGAAGAAAGTGGGGTAGCTTTTGTTTGATGGCATGATCCCCAGGCTAAAGGGGATGGGGCTTTTTTGGAAACATGGTTGGTTCTCTGTGAAGCAATTCCTATTCCCTGCAGTTAAAGTATTGCAGAGCAACAAGGAAGGCAGTTGGGTAAGTGGAAGCAGAGCAGTGGAATTGCAGTGCAGTGGAAAATCTTTATTCAAACTCCAGTATAATGTTGCAGTTCGTTGTTCTTGCCCATGGTGGAGTTCTAGCTTCATGTCCATGGAGTTCTAACTCCATGGTTCTAAACTAAGCCAGATAATGCTCTGCATTCCCAAAACTTCATAAACCAGTTTAGCGCCCATCAGATGCTACAGCTGGACTCCAGCAAATGATTAACAAATACTGTTGTGCTTGCTTCCCTTCCTGCAGCTCTAACCGTGATCGGAATACATTGCCCAAGAAGGGACTAAGGTAATCGTCCTTCTACCCCACCCCTCACTTTCCTGTTGCTATGAACTGATGGTCAAATAAATTAGTGGGCATGGCATACAGTATGAAGTTGCAGTAGACGAAACCTGCTTTTCACTGTGGTCATACTAACACAAGATGACCAGTTGAAGAAATCTCGGTGTTCCTCGCAAACCAACACTATATGTTATTTTGAGCATGCTGTTTATCATCCTCTTAAACAGGGTACTTAATATTCTACATGCTACAGAGTAAGATCCCAAAGAAAATCAATTAACCATGGTGGTTCATAAAAGCAGCCCACCCTGTTTCTGTTCAAAGCAAACCAGTCTAGGGATCTGGTTACATCTCTCACTTCTTGGTCCTTTGCAAGATTGTATATAGGAAGGCTAGGCACAGCTTTCCCAACTACTGTATGTGGAGCACAAACTATCCTGGGAGCCGTTTGCTGTGAACAATATTGAAGTTATTATTTATTTTTGTTTATAATGGCCGTTGTGGTGTCCTTTTTTTTTTTTAAAGCACTTTATTATTGCAGTATGATGAATGTTCTGTATGCACAAGCATTTCAACTTGCCAGATGGAATGATCCTCTCTCTCCTCCCCCTGTGCACTTTTCTGGGTCCCCCCCCCTGAAAATGAAACAATTTCAGAAGTGTAGAGGAAGCCTTGTTGAGCAAGCAGAAGTCCTTGCACAGGGTTTCTTCTGGCAGGGCTCATTAGGTGAATCCTGTTTAAAGTCCTCAGTTAATAAATGATGTTCACCAGAATGAAATACTCTGCAGAACTTTATAGTATGGTAGCATTTGCTGTTAACTGGCCATGTTCTAGAGGGCATAATAAATTGGACAGTATATAAACGGCTTCCATGATATGGCTTCCATTGACTTTTTGTAGCTGTGTTCAAATACTTACGGGGTGAATGCATGCACTGAAGTCCAAGCCTGAACAGGTTTCCTCTGAAGTAAGGCCCAAGATTTAATGAGACTTAATCCTAAACTAAATGTTCAAAGAGCTGTGGCCTTGGTTTATCTATTTTTTCTCATGTCCTTTGGAAAGAGTAGCTTGGATGGCAATCTGCTTTCGAAAGCTCTGATTACCTTATTAGCACTGAGTAATCCACACTTTCTTAGCATCACCATTGCTATACAATTAGGTGCTCCCCAGCGAAATTTAGAATTTCGCTTACTATGACCTCAGGAACTGGCTACATGAGTGATGTTAAGCCTAAGCCACCACAGTTGTTTTACGGCTACAAAATTCCTTCAGTCTTCCTTGTTCTACTTCTCTCTCCCTTAATTTTGGCAGGTATCAAATCCAGTCCCAGGAAGAGGCCAAGGAGAGGCGGCACTCCCACACGATTGGAGGATTGCAGGAATCAGATGACCAGTCTGAGCTGCCTTCCCCTCCTGCTCTCTCCATGCCATTGGTTGGAAAGGCACCACTCACTAATATTGGTTAGTTTCTCTTGCCTTCTGTTTTCCTGCAGGGGGAACTTTTGGAGACAGGTGTTCTAAGCCAGTTGAAGCTGATGCTGATCTATACTTTCTGAGATCCTTTCCCTTAATTTTCTTTCTTCTGAGATGGCATTGCCAGCTCACCCAAAACCAACTCCAAGGTCAGGGGCATGAAATCAGAGATGTTAAGGGGTGGCCTGGTGCAAGTGTTTACATTTTACACAGGTGCAGATTGGTTTGTGCAAGGAATGGTGTACATTCAAAGATTCTACCCTTCTCTCTCTCTCTCTCTCTCTCTCTCTCTCTCTCTCTCTCTCCTGGCTGCCACCCCTGAGTCTAGTGAGCCCTCTGTTCCTACACCCCCATTCCTGCTTCAAGCAGCTCCATCTGACTAGCTTGTCCTCCCCTCCCTCCTTCTCCTGCAGTGACCCCCACGGCAGCCAACACCCCGAGGATCACCCGCTCCAACAGCATCCCCACCCACGACTCCACCTTCGAGCTGTACAATGCGTCCCCCATGGGCAGCACCCTCTCCCTGGCAGACCGGCCCAAGGGCATGATCCGTTCGGGCTCCTTTCGCGACCCTGTGGATGATGGTGAGAGTCCTGCACCCAGCCAGGAGGACAAGAGTCTCCTCCACAGTAATAATGGTGAGAGGGATACGGTCGCGACAAATTCTGTCTGTCAGGTCTTCTCAAGTGCGCACAGGTGTACCTGGCAGGTGGGCTGGTGCAGCTGTGGGAGCTGCTTCTTGCTTGCAGGGGAGCAAGATGACATGGCAGAGCTGGGGACGGGAGGTGTGAGTGGGTGAGATCGGTAACTTTCAAGCATTGCTTTCTCCCTCCTGCACTTCCAGCACCACGATAAACAGGATGTGGGAGGCAGGCACTCTGCCCATCGCCCAGTGCTAGCTTGCCATGGGGCAGAGACAGCCACACCTCTTTTGAGGATGTGTGTCCACACTGCATCTGTATAAGACTTTAAAATTACTCAAAGCCAATGAAGCACTATGCTAAATAATAATAATAGTAGTAGTAGTAGTAGTAATAATAATAATAAATTTTATTTATATCCCGCCCTCCCCAGCCGAAGCCGGGCTCAGAGCAGCTAACAACAATAAAAGTAACACAGTTTACATAAAATCACAATCAGTTAATTGAAATGCATTCTAAAATCAATTCATTCTAAAATCAATTTAAAATCAAATTAATGGCAACCATTGGGCTAGAGTTCTGTGAGGATTACCAAAGGAGGTGGTCAGACTGTGCCTTGGCCAAAGGCCTGGTGGAACAGCTCTGTCTTGCAGGCCCTGCGGAAAGATTGCAATATAGTTCAGGTAGTGATAGAACTGATTTCCGTTGGGTTGTGGCAGGGAACTCCCTCAGCCAGGGTCTCCACCTGGGTCATTGCTGATTGCGTGCCTCGTATTACTTCAAGTTCAGGGTTTTTATTGTTCCTGATGTGCTGCGTTAAAACGTAGGTCTTCGTGCTGAAAACAAACATTGAACCCCTGTGCTAGCAAAATGTTTTCACATTTCTCTAGGAATGTTGAGCCTTGGCTGGGATGGATGATCCACCCATGCAGGCAAGGAATCTTGCCCGTTTCTTCCAGGACCGAACGCTCTCCCGATCCCTCAAATTTCCCGTGTTAACTGTTAAGAGAGCCTCACGTCGACTCTTGGTGTTGTGGCTCCACTTCTTTGTGCCTCTAGGTTCTCCCCTTGCCCCATGTACACTGATGCCCCACGGTGAGGAGATGACCCCATGACACGTGTCTTCTCTCTTGTCTTTTGCAGTTCACGGATCTGTGCTGTCCCTGGCGTCAAGTGCTTCCTCCACTTACTCCTCAGTAAGCTGTGCTCCCTTCATCAGCGGGCCTGGGCTTTCTCAGTGCTGCAATTCTGGCAGGCCATCCTTCCCTCTCTTCCCCAAACCCTGGATGTTCCCCTGCTGCAGTCTTTTCGAGTGATGGGGTGCTGTTTCAGGGCTTTGCGTGTAACCATGTGGGGCGGGGGGAAGGTGTGGCAGAAATAAGCTGTTGTCGTGTTGCCACAAGAAGCGTGGTGCATGTGGAAAGATTGCAGCGGAGGTGCTGGCTTCTCTGCATGGCTCCTCGCCTTTGCCTGTGAGTGCGCCTCTGCTACTTATGCCCTAACCGCCTGCCTCTCTCTGTCTCTCCTCTGCCCCACCATGTGCTGCCAGGCTGAGGAGAGGATGCAGTCTGAGGTACAGTAAGATTCTCTCTCTCTCTCTGTCCTCCCTACGGCTGCTTTGCTCTTGACCCATTGGTGGAGAGCAAAAGGGTCTATCTTGCTCCCTGACTCCTCCCCATCTTTCACTTTCTCCCTGATTGTAGCAAATCCGCAAACTGCGCCGTGAGTTGGAGTCATCCCAGGAGAAAGTGGCCACGTTGACATCCCAGCTTTCGGCCAACGTGAGTTGCCCTGTGTTGTTAATCTGCCGCAAATGCTCCTCTCTCATAAACAAAATTTTGAGTGATGTAAATTAAAGTAGCATTCAAAAATACCAAAGGAAAATGGAAGGATAAAATAAGGAAGGGAGATGTGGGTCAAGGTGTTTCGACCAAATAAATAGTGAATACAAATATATGGTGTGATCACATTTTACACAGGGGTTCTGCATATAGGGTGTTTTGTTGGGGGTTTTTTGTTTGTTATTTATATTACTTTTCGTATCTTAATTTGTAGGTCTTATTATGATTTATGTGGAAATGGTTTCAGTTTGGTTGTGTGCTTTCTGATGTGTTTTATTTATTGTTTGTGGCTTTTGCTACATTTGTAATTATGTAAACCTTGTCAAGTTGTAAGCCACCTCGAGCATGTTTGTTTTTTTAAGTATGGAAAAATGGCATACAGATAAGATGATGATCTAGTTCAGTGGGTTGGAGCATGTTGCTAATAATGCCAAGGTTGCAAGTTCGAGCCCGGCTGCGTATTCTTGCATTGCAGGGGGTTGGACTAGGTGATCCTCAGGGTCCCTTCCAACTATGCCATTCTAGGATTCTGTATACACGGAAACATGCATACTCAAACCCTTGGAACTAGCCCTGCATGAAAATTCCCAGCCTTCCAGAGACAAAGTGCTGAGCCCCTCTACCCAAGCAAGGCAGGGAGCTTAAACCCAGCTTTCTGTATTCAACATGGAATAGGAGCACCCTCTAGTGGATACTCACTGTTTTGCTAGCTCAGTGTCTCTAAAACGTCTTGAGCATGGGTCTTAGAATAAAGGAGGACAATAGATTATACCTTTAATCTATCACAGCGGCAACTGCCTATTCCACTACATAATGAGTAAATATTATTTCATGCAGTCGTGTGAATGCAGCCCCATCCTGTGTACCAGAAGTCACTGGATCAGAGCCCAGGGGACTAATGCAAAGCTGTCATTAGAAAGGGGAATAGAATTAGAAACACCATTAGAAAACACCATTAGAGCAAAGCTACAGCTTTCCCCAGATCAGAATGGGGCAGCCCAGTATGACTTAGCAAACCCAACCTGAATCATTGAGGATCCTCTTGCTAAGGGGCATCCAACTACTCACGTGTTTTGGTTGGTGTGTGGCTGTAGGATCCACCAGCCTCAAGACACTGTCCTCTCCTGAAACTTTGCCCCCTTCACTTCAAGTTTTACACACCTCCCCGACGGGGACCCACCCCACTGTGTTGAGAACAACTTTGTCTAGAGTTGTAGTTTTAGAGACATCAGCCTTCTGCCATATACTTCTGCTGTAGAACCGCAATCCCTGATGGGATAATGGGTTTAATTAGGAGCTCCCAGTATCTTTGCTGATAAGCAATTAAGAATCTACAGAGCTGCATTAATACGAGGCCAGATTATGTGTCTATTCTGACCGGCAGTTGCTCTCCAGGTAGTGAAATATCATTCCCATCATGCGCTGTGTGGTTTTTTGGAAATGCAACTGAATCCGTGCAAATGACCTGCTTCATGCAGATCATGTGCTCTGCCACTGACCTGTGGGTCCCTCTGATTCCTGTTTCCTTCATATGACTCTGTTCCTTGTACTGGCATGTGGGCATATCACCCCTTTTCAATTTCCTTTCCAGGCGAACTTAGTAGCAGCCTTTGAGCAGAGCCTCGTGAACATGACTTCCCGTCTCCGACATCTTGCAGAGACTGCGGAAGAGAAGGTGAGTTTGAGGCAGTTGGCAGGGTCCATGGCTGACCCAAGGTGCTGAGGCCTGCCCTACGAAACGGCTTGCTGTTGTTTCCTTTCTCCCCCCTCCCCCTAGCATAGGTTTGCAGCAGAGCAGTTAGTAAAATACTAAAACACAAGGCATTCATCAGTTATGCTTCACCTTCTAGGACACTGAGCTGGTGGACTTGAGGGAGACAATTGATTTCTTGAAGAAAAAGAACTCGGAAGCCCAAGCTGTTATCCAAGGGGCCCTGAATGGAACAGACATTACACCCAAAGGTGAGCGCAGCCTTCAACACACACTGTCCTGGTGGATCTTTGGCTATGCAGCTGCCAAATGGTGGATTAGAGACAAGGGTGGACAGGATTGGTTCCTTTTCCTGCTAGGAGCAAGGGAGGGAGCGGTTAGACATTGTGGTGCGGTGCTTGGATAAAATGCACTTTCACTGGAGCCAGTTGGAACACACACACTTTTACTGGTCCTTTAATATTTGAAGGGAGGTAAAGCAAGCAGCAGCCAGACATAGGGCAGGACTGTGTAGGTTCTATGCCCAACGTCCTCTTTCTCCTTCCCAGACATGGAGCCCTTAGTAATGAGAGTGGGAGAAAGATGGGGAAGCTTCATGCTTTCAGGCTCCATAATGTCACAGTGACCGTACTTGTGTGTTGCTTCCTCCTCCTTTGTTCTGAAATTGGAGCTCCTGGTTCTATAGATGGGAACAGCCATCGTTACCATTGTGCTAATGGGAAAAAACAGAACAGTGGTAAAGGCAGCTAAGAGTTATACTTCTTTCACTGCCTTCTAGCATTGCACTGATAGGATGAAATTCCAGAGGAGTAGAAGGATGGGGGAATGGAGTCATGGTGGTCCTGAGCACTAGAAACTCCTGAGTATTTATTGACAAGCATGCCCAAGACAAGAGACCAAGCCATCATCGAATCTGAATACATGCAGCTCCTCATCTTTCCTTATGGTCCCCAAATCTTGCCTGTCCCCAGATGCTGCCCCTGTGTGCTCCATTCCCTACTATTCCCACTTCCTTGGGCCCTGCCTGACCTTAAATAAAAATGTTAAGATTTGATTTGAAGTCTAGCCTGGGAACAAAGTACAGAGAACTTTTTTTTTTTTTTTTTGCTAGCTGTGTTTGGAATTGATGCTAAAAACAGAGAGGTGGTAGCTGATTACCTGGGTGCCTGCAAGAGCTGCCAGTTTGTCCACAGGTTTTGAATGCATCTCTTCCCTTCCCTGTGACTCTCCAGAGCTGCGTATCAAGAGGCAGAACTCGTCGGACAGTATATCCAGCCTGAACAGCATCACCAGCCATTCTAGCATCGGCAGTGGCAAGGATGCAGATGCCAAGAAGAAGAAAAAGAAGAGCTGGGTAGGTCAAGGAGGAGGGGAAGTAATGGTGGGATCTACGTGGGGGTGAAACCCTGTTGTGTGTCTTGTCACAGTAGCTAGTATAATGGCAACTGGGGTTTCAGAGCTACTTGGCTCATGGAAGTACTATTGACTACTTACAGCAGATTTCTCTGCGAAAGAAACTAGTTTGCATCTTTATTGCTCTTGAGGCCCAGTGGGAATATCCTTTAGCTCCCAAGCTAGATCCACTGGTAAGTGATAGGCGTCACTCATGAGGCCCATTAGACTTAACCATGGTATGGATGTGATAGCCTAAAAGGGAGGCAGGGTTATGTTGTTTTTTTAATTACTACTACTACTACTACTACTACTACTACACCACATGGACTTAAAATGTTTCTAGCATGCTTCAAGTTAAATGTCCTGTTTCCCAGGCATGCAAACACCCCTCCAGTCTGAATAGCCTTAAAGCATTTTGTGGTTTTTTTGCTCTCTTTCCAGCTGCCTATTTTGAGTCAGGAATGAGACCAGAGGAAGCTTCCAAGTTTTTAAGGCTCCGCTTAAAAATATTGGGCAGTGGGATGGGGAGTAATTTGACCTGAACCTTATTAGGAACATTTTAAGGTGCATATTAAATTATAATAATAAAGGTTTCAACTTTTAAAATTAATATTGCCTCACAGCTGGTTTTGCATGGCAAGTTTACGACTTGTGCAGCTGATGTTACTCTTCCTTTCCATTTACGCTAACCTTGCTGCCCTGCCTTTCCCCACTGCTCCCTAAAGCAGAGAGAGGCCACTCGCGCCCAACTCTCAGCTCAGTAGGTGTGCCGTCCTCTTAGGAAGGCTGGTGTAGAAGATTGTCCCAGTTTCTCTGTACTGCCTTGAGCTCTCACCCCATCTCCGCAGCTTGTTACAGGCAGGGAACCTGAGCTGAACGCATGATTAAGTCTTGCTGTGTTCTTTTTCCCCCCTTTCTTCCTTCAATGCTGACCCCCAACCCCTTTTTTCCAGGTTTATGAGGTAAGCTTGAAACTCCCTTCCCCACCCCCACCCCATCCCTCCCTTTCACCAGTCCTTTCCCTGTGTCTTACTCCTGACTGGTCACTCCATTGTGTTGGGGACAGCACAGCACTCGTGGAACTAACCATCCCATTTGCTCTCGCACTTGCGCTGCCAAGCCACACAGGAGGGGCCACTGCACTGGTGCTGCGGCAGGGGTGGGGAGGGGAGTTTCACGCCCCTTTTTGACATGGCTCTGAGTCTATCCCTAATGTTACCCAGTCTTAACAGCTCTCCTAAAGGTCTAGAAAGTCACCGGGAAAAGAGGTTCCAAGAGTGGATTTTTGAAGTACTCAAGTGGAGCAGTTTAATAATAATTCATAGTATCCTACCTCTGCAGCAGTTTGGCTCTGTCCTGTACCTCAACACTTAAGGGTTTTTTAAAACTCCTGCCCCTCAGGAGTACGTACTGCAGGCTGTACGTACTGTCATTCTCCACACTCAATTGTTGCAAGAGGAGGAAATATATTATAAGAATATTGATGAATGTGTTTAATATCGTCATTTCCCATGCTGGGGAATTGTCTATTTTTTTTCCTTTGCAAATCGAGCAGTTTCTCTTTTTGCTTCTGTCAAGAGAACCTTCCAAATTCAGGAACTGTTGTTTGCAGACATTGTTTGTGCCATAATGTAATCCGTGCCACCCTGAGAACTTGTTGAAGAGTGGGGTATAAATCCCTTACAATTAAATAAATTAATGAATTAATGAATCCACTCTCAGCAGTTTGGCTGTGGCTTCCAAATCCAGTCTAAACTTTGTTTGCATTTCTTTGTCTGTCTAGAGCAGACAAGGTTTCGTTGGGCCATAAATTCCCAGCATCCCTGATCGCTGGCCCTGCATGCTGAGAGTCCCAGCAACTTCTGGGGTCGGGGATACAGGTTCCCCATCCGTGTTCTAGAATTGCACTCCTTAACAGCACACTCCTTTGCATGCACATCTGTTCAAAAATAAGCCTCACTGAACTCAGTGGGTCCTACTCCCAGGTAAGTGTGTACAGGACTGCAGCCTAAGTGGCCAGATGATGAGGTTCAATAGAGCATGGCGCCCACCCACACACCAATTTCTGCCACACCATCTCATAGCTGCCGCAGGTCAGAGCAAGTCAGAGAGCTGGAAGATAGAAAGTGATTTCTCACATGTACGACATGACAAGTGCTCTTTGAAGCCTCCTGAAAGGGTAGCAGAGGTTCAAGCTCTGAGACAGCTCCAGTCCCCTGGCCTCTTGTGTGCCCTCAGACTGTCTTGTGAGGTGGGTGGGTGGGTGGGAGATAGGAAAACCCAGTTCCAATAGTGCCTCCACCCATTACAGTGGCTATTCTCCCTGCTACTGTCTCAATACATGTGTGGATTGATGCCTGTTTTGTGTGCATGTTGCATGCTCCGCCTGAGCATTGTTGGGATCACAAGTTGACTATTCCCCTCAAGAGCAAATCACAAGGCTGTGCTGGTCTTGACTCGTTTCTCTGTCTTCTTCCTTTTCTGCAATATTGATTGAACCATTACATGTTAGAAGAAGGAGGGCTGCTTCTCTGTAATCTCTCTTCAGCCGGATATTGAGATGCAAGATAAACGACACAGATTTTAGCATCCCAGCCTAATTCCATTCTGTTAATAATTGGGAAAGAGTTGCATATTTTGTCGAGTAGGGGAGCAGCCTGCCATTCTTACTTGTAGGTTTGGCAGGCCCTGAGGATTGGAGTGCCAAAGCAGAGGTGAGCTATGAAGTGCTCTCTCATTGTATGAATCTGCTGTAAGCAAGTCAGGTTGGGCACATACAGGTTCTAAGTGCACAAATGCCACCAAGTCAGGAGAGCTCCTAGTTATAGCACCAATATTGCTTGTTGTCTTCCCTGCTGCTATGAGTTCTTAGAATCACTGAACTGTAGAGTTGGAAGGGACCCCAAGGGTCATCTGAACACAGGGAGTTATATACCAAAACATCTAGAAGTTGGAGGAAAAGTCCTACCATGGTAGTGGGTTCAATCCTTTGTGAGATACGAAGTTATTCCACTCACCCCAGTGGTGTCAGATGCCTCTATTAGTTACAGCAGCTGATACTTGGAATGTGGAACAAAAGGAATGTGACATTCTTGTAAGACTGTCACATTCCCTGGGTAGCGATTGATTGATTGATTGATTGATTGATTGATTGAATTGTACCCCACTTTTCTTCTATGATGGAACCCAAGGCACACATAGGGCTTCCATCCAGGCAGTGGCCAGACCTCCATAGCTTCAGCAAAGTTGCTGATGATGAAAGGGTTTGGGGTGGTCCACCTTCTCTCACTATCTACCCCTGCCCATAGGTTAAGCTATGGTGCTCTGAAAAAGCAAATTGAGTAAGCAAGGATGGACGTTTGGGAAGTATAAATGGGCTTTTGCTCTTTCCAGGTAGGGCTGCAGTTATTGGTGTAAGCAGCTAACTTTAGGCTCTCTTAACCTAGTCCTCACTCTCCCTTAAAAATGCAGATTTGCTTCGAGAGGTAGTAATGATAGATTGTAAGTAGGTGTGCTGCCCACAGCAATCACCCGCTCCCCAATCCAAAACCTTCTCTGCATAGTGGCATGCAGTACCACTATTTGTGTGCATGGATCAAGCTGCCAACTATAGTAGGCCACCACCACTCCTGCCTATTTAGAAAGATGCAAGAAGCCTGGAACATTCTGAATGAAAGGATATATCCTTTTGCATGACAGTGGCAGCACTTCAGTGCATGGACTCAGCTGGTCGGTGGCATGTTGCGCTGGCTATTAATTGTTCTGCATGTTTGGACAAGTCCATGTCTTAGGCTGCTAAACTGCCCTTGTTTCCTTCCATATTAGGTAGCGTAGGATGTTGTATTTTACATTCCCACTCAGGATATGGAAAGAGAATCTGGCCTGTGTCTTCCTTAACAATCTTTGACAGATCACTTATCCTTTAGGAACCACAGGCCATGCCTGTGTTCTGTATGTTCCTTGGTTCCTCCTTATATGTGTGATTTAAAAGTTCTGCTTCCCCCAAGGTCTCAGATTTTTGGTTACCAACCATGAGAGCTGCTGGGGTTTTTTTGTGATAGGAATAATAATACAGAATCCTTTTGGCTTCCTTGCCAGCAGTCTTTCATAAGTGATAGAAGTGATTTTGCTCCCTGGAGTCTCAGAGTCCAAGCTATGGAAAGTGGCATGGTTGGAAACAGCAAGAATTGCTGCTGATTCCTTGTTCTGAGCACTCTGGAATCTACTACTTGGTTTCTTGGGGAGCATAATTAAGATGCACTTAATGCAAATTCAATACCTTGTGCCACTTCAGCTACCTTTATGTGCTTGCATTCAAGTTCTTGAAAGCCTGTTCGATAAAGGAAGATTTTTAAAAATATCTTGCATTCTGACAGTGCATGATTATAGGGGGAGTGGGAATTCCAAGTTGCCTTAAAAGTTGTGGGTATGGATCAATGATTAATTAAAACCAGGGGGATGCCTCTGTGTATATACTTTCTTTAAATAGGTTTTGTGCTTGGAGAGTATTAATGTAAAAATTAGTGTCCTCTGGGGTGATGGGGTAGTATTAGAGCTTGGGTAAGAAGCAGACCAAAGGGGAAGCCAAGTTTCTGAGTGTCCTGAAAACTATGAACTGTTCACAGCGTGCAATGTAACAGAGGTTAGATGGCATAGGCTGCCTCTGCCGCCTCCTTGCCCCATGGTGCAGCATCCTCTGTTTTCCAGCAGTCAGCCTCAGAGGGCTTTTTCAAGCTTTTCTCGCTTCTCCATTTCCCCCTTCAGTTGAGGAGCTCTTTCAACAAGGCTTTCAGCATCAAGAAGGGCCCAAAATCTGCCTCCTCCTATTCCGACATAGAGGAGATCGCCACCCCAGATTCTTCTGCGCCATCGTCCCCCAAACTACAACATGGATCCACGGAGACAGCCTCGCCCTCCATCAAATCTTCCAACTCCTCTTCTGTGGGCATTGATAACACTGAGTAAGTCCACTCTCCAGGGAGTGAAGCTAGGGGTGGCTGCATGGACAAGTTACACCTGGAAAAACTTAAGTCTGCTATGCCTTGTATCTGATCATATTGTACAGTATGCTGCAGGTGGCCTCAGGTTCCTGGAACTGTGATATGAACATTAAGAACCTTGGTGGAGGGGCACTAAACAGGTGGCTGAGTGACCATTTACAGAGCACCTTTTCCAGTAATATGTATGCACTGGAAAGAACTCGTGCTCTGGCAGGAGAGGGCAGCAGTGAGCAAAGATTCAGAAGCAGCACTCCTCAGCTGGGCCAGGCTGGCCCATTCAGTTGCTACCATAGTCCAATGCAATTCTGGGCTGCATCAATAGGATTATAGCATCTAGATCAAGGGAAGTAATAGTGCCACTGTATTCTGCTCTGGTCAGACCTCACCTGGAGTACTGTGTCCAGTTCTGGGCACTACAGTTCAAGAAGGACACTGACAAACTGGAACGTGTCCAGAGGAGGGCAACCAAAATGGTCAAAGGTCTGGAAACGATGCCTTATGAGGAACGGCTAAGGGAGCTGGGCATGTTTAGCCTGGAGAAGAGGAGGTTCAAATATATAAAAGGATGTCATATAGCGGAGGGAGAAAGGTTCTTTTCTGCTGCTCCAGAGAAGCGGACACGGAGCAATGGATCCAAACTACAAGAAAGAAGATTCCACCTAAACATTAGGAAGAACTTCCTGACAGTAAGAGCTGTTCGACAGTGGAATTTGCTGCCAAGGAGTGTGGTGGAGTCTCCTTCTTTGGAGGTCTTTAAGCAGAGGCTTGACAACCATATGTCAGGAGTGCTCTGATGGTGTTTCCTGCTTGGCAGGGGGTTGGACTCGATGGCCCTTGTGGTCTCTTCCAACTCTATGATTCTATGATTCCTTGCTGGTGCTTGCAGACTTTTCCTTGCACCATGTCTAAATTTCTGCTCATCCTTTGCACAGGTTGTTCCAGGCCAATGAAGAAGAGGAGCCTGAGAAAAAGGAGGTCTCAGAGCTGCGCTCAGAGCTGTGGGAGAAGGAAATGAAACTGACCGACATACGTTTGGAGGCCCTAAACTCTGCCCATCAGCTGGACCAACTGCGCGAAACTATGCACAACATGCAGGTGGGCATGATGTGCCCTGAAAAGCTAGCACCTCTCTGAGGCTGCAGATCTTTGGCTATTGCTGGGTCTCCATGCTCTTGACAGCAATTTTCTAAGCATTTTCTGTTGGTCAATTTGTTTCTTTCGCAAAGAGACAAAGCAGGCTGCATGAATGCCCTTCAATTGGCCCGGTGCCTGCTGGCAAGACACCCATCATGAGACAGGTTACAGAAAAGATGGGGAGCCTGTGATGTTCCAGATGTTGGACTCTCCACTCCCATTAGCTCCAGCCAGTGTAGTTGATAGTCAGGGGATGACAGAAGTTACAGACCAGCAGCATATGGAGGGCCACAGGTTTCCCATCACTGGGTTGCATTTGCCTTATCCATTGGAGTGTCCTTATTTCCTGACATTGGTCCAGTAGCAGTGTTCTAAGCAAATTCATTGTTGCAAGGAAACTCCACAGAAGTACATTATCTGGAGCAGAGTTGAGAGAGATGGCAGCAACAGTTTCTGAAGCTGAAACAGCTGCTTTGTTTGGGCAGCATTTTGAGAGACAGGCCACGAGCCTTTTAAATCAGGCTCTCCTGGTAGGAAAGGGACCCTTGGATGGAATTTGGCTGTGAAAAACTCTTTTTCCAATGTGCAACCCGTGGGAAATGCTCTGTCTGTTAGGATTTTCTGCTGTAGTCTCCTTTTTAGGCTGTGGGAAGCCTTAATGTTATCAGCACTCTCATTCCTGCCACTGCTGTCTTTTCATTCCCTGTAGCTGGAAGTGGATCTATTGAAAGCTGAGAACGACCGGCTGAAGGTGGTCCCTGGGCCCTCGTCTGTGCCAAGCTCCATCCCAAGTCATCTCTTGAGCTCATCTGCCGCCTCTTCCCCAAGGCGCTCTCTAGGGCTCCAGCTCACTCACCCTTTCAGTCCCAGTTTGACTGATACAGGTATGAAGCCGAGACAGAGACACAGAGAGAAAGGCCGAAGAGCTTTTGATACTAGTTCATTTGCTGTTGCAAAATCTCTGCTTCTGTTTTTTCAAGATATTTTCTTTATGGAACAGGGATGGGGAAGAGAGGTGAGAAGGAAGATTTGAGATCACCTTTGGATGGGTTGTGGGGACAGTGGCCTAGTTGTGCCTTGCATCACGAATTTGGAGAATGGGAACCGTTTACAACATACTTGCAATAACAAAAACAAAAAAGGGACTCGTTGGCATGATTTAAATAAACATTTACAACTTTATTTACAGAGATCAAGACATATATTTAGCGATAACAGAACATTATGTAGCAGAATGCAGCAGAATGTAACATTTGATGTAACAAACCAGAAATGGAAGTTGGGGGAAGTCAACAGGGAAGGGGAAAAGTAGCAAATGGATGCTAAATGAGATACTGAATAATTGTTATGAGGGGGGGGAAATCAATAAAAATATTTTTTAAAACAAACAAACAGTGATGGCACCCACCAAAAAAAAAGGGGGGGGATTTGGTTACAGTGACATTTGGTCACATACTACAAATACTATGTTGATGCCATTGCTTTATTGACAACTTACTGATTGTATCTTAGTGGGAGAACCTACAAGGGGGTGAGACTAGGTCCAGGGCAAGAGAAGAGGTGCTGCACTGAAGACTAACAGGAGGTAGTTCTTGTGCTGGAGAGAGTGAAAAGTTGTATCAACCAAACTTGGAGGGGGTGTGTGTCCTGGACTGTATAGGGGAACCACTATGGCAGAGTCCAAAAGACACTAAACTGTAGAATTATAGAGGAAAGAAATATTTCACTTTGACACATGGGGATTCCTGGAAATACCATCCTATGTCAATGGTTTCTACTTCTGCACAATGTGTATACTTGTTTTCCCCTTCTCTAGAGCTTTCGCCGATGGATGGCATCAGTGCTGGCACCCAGAGGGATGAGGTGACACTACGAATTGTAGTGCGCATGCCACCTCAGCACATCATCAAAGGGGTAAGCATCAATGGAAAAGTGGGGAGAGGCATTACCCAGCTGCAATGTATGGTGTGAGGACAATGCTAGTTGAGTAGCAGCAGATTCCAAATCTCAGCCGCTTTTATATCTTGCTTTTGGCTTCCAGGACCTGAAGCAGCAGGAATTCTATCTGGGCAGTAGCAAAGTGAGTGGGAAACTGGATTGGAAAATGCTGGATGAAGCCGTCTGTCAGGTCTTCAAGGTGAGATGCTAACAGCAACTTTGTAGTTGTGATAACATCTTCAGAAACTTCATTCCACATTTCTGGGATGCTGAACCAACTTCTACACCTCTTACCCTGTCCTGCATAGCATACATGGTTCTCTTTCCCCTCATTTTATGCTTGCAGCAACTCTGCAAGGTAGCTAAGGGTAAGGTTATGTAGTGGCTGGCCCAAAGTCATCCAGGAGGAACTCCCTTCTCAAAGCCTCTTCTAATGACTTCCAGCAACCCGATAAAAACTCTTTGGTTTGCCCAGACATCTGGAGGTTTGTGAGTGAGCGAGTGCCTGTTTCTGTTTTAATTTACTACTAGTGGTTGTGGTTCTTCTTTTATTTTTGCACTGATTGCTATTTTATTTGGTTAAAAAAAACAAAAACAAATTGCAAGCTACCCCAAGAATTGTGGTTAGTAGTGGATACTTGTCTAGCATCAGGCTTACTCCTGACCTGAACCAAGCTACTCCTTGTCTTCACTCAGGACTATGTCACCAAGATGGACCCTGCTCTCACACTGGGGCTCAGCATTGAGTCTGTCTATGGTTATAGCATCAGCCACATCAAGCGAGTCTTGGACACAGAGCCACCAGAAATGCCGCCTTGCCGACGGGGTGTGACCAGCATCGCTGTGACATTGAAAGGTACCACCACAGTTATCTTGACACGCATTTATTACCAGTGATATGCCAGGCCACCTCTGCTTGATCCTTTGCTTCTATCTGGTTCAGTTCCAAGCAGGGTCAAAGGGCGGGGTAGAAAGCAACATGGACCTCTAAATTAGAGAGCCTCTGGAAAGCACTACTGAAGTCAGAAGAGGCAGTGGTGAGCTGCTAAATGCAGCACTGGAACCCTGGTCTTCCGTAAGTTACTGAACTACAGCTCCCATCATCCCTGGCCACTGGCCATGCTTGCTGGGGCTGATGGGAGTTGTAGTTCAGCAAAACATCTGGTGGGCCAAAGGTTCCCCACATCTGCTGTAGGTGAAAACCTATGTTTGGCTTTACTGAAAGGAATATATACTGCAATGTGGCTGCTAAAAATATCTAATGTGATCTTAGGCTGCGTTAATAGTGTCCAGATCACAAGACGTAATAGTTCTGCATCTTAAGTACATACTGTCCAGTTCTGGGCACCACACTGACAAATAGGGGAGCATTTCTGGAAGAGAGCAGACAGCATGGTGAGGGATCTGGAAACTTCAGTCTTTTGAGGAATTGTTGAAAGGGCTGGGTATATGTAGGGTATGAAGATAAAAAGATATTAAGGAGAGACATGATTGCAGTCTTCAGATATCTGAGGTGAAGTAAAGGAGGAGCTGCAGCAATTCTTTTTCTCCCTTGCTCCATAGGCAGCAGATTTCAGCTAAACATTAGGAGAAACTTACTAATGGTAATCCCCCCACACACACTCTGAACAGACTGTCTTTGGAGATAGTGGGCTCTCCGTTTACTGGAGGCTTTTAAGCTGAAGCTGGGATGCTATCAGTTAGGTCTGCTGTAGCTGTATCCTGCATACAGCAAGGGGTTGAACCGCATGACCTCCTAGGTCCCTTTTAACTAAGATGGTTATAAATATTATTCCTGTAGTTCTGATACAGAGTTAAAATATTGGTGCCGTATCCCATTTCAGACTCTTTATCTAAACCATAATTTAGATTATTAGGATCAAACAGCGGTGAACTTTGCACATTCTCCACCTTTAGATCTTTGTATTGAAAAGGAGAAGGAGATATAATTTTCTCCTTAAAACACACCCCAGTTCCATTCTTCTACCAACTGTGGTTTGTTCTAACAAAACTTAGTTAAAACAAACCTCCTGGCTTTCAAACTTAGGTCGGAACAAATCTCCCAGACCAGAGAGATAGATATCAGACTGCTATACATGAAGTAGTGATATATTTACTCAAGAAGAAACAGTGTCCCCACATCATGAAAAGGCTGGGGAGGATTTCTTTTGGAGGAAAGAGCCTACCGTGGCAGAAAAGGGAACTGCAAATGTTATTAAAGTCCTGAGTGTGAGAGGGGAGGCATTTCAACAGCTGCAATCTTCTACACAGGTTTGAAAGAGAAGTGTGTGGACAGCTTGGTGTTTGAGACCCTTATCCCCAAGCCCATGATGCAGCACTACATAAGCCTTCTGCTCAAGCACCGCCGCCTTATCCTGTCTGGGCCAAGTGGAACTGGCAAAACCTACCTAACGAATCGTCTGGCTGAGTATTTGGTGGAGCGCTCAGGCCGCGAAGTCACTGATGGCATTGTCAACACTTTCAACATGCACCAGCAGTCATGCAAGGTGTGAAACTCCTTGCCTGGGACTGTCTACTCGGGAATTTCTGCACTTCCGCGTTCTCTGATCCCTAGCACAGCCCTGCTTGATTACCTTCATTCCTAAGTCACAGACTCCTTGTAATTTCAGGTGGAAGAACCTTAGGCATACTACTTGCAATCCTTGATCCCCCAACACAACTCTGTACATATCTACCCAGAACCCTGTGAGTTCAGTGGAACTTACTCCCTAGTAAGTAGGTATTACGATAGCAGGTATAAGAGGAATTAAACATAGTGCTAAGCACTTCTTCAGCATGAGCATTTCTGCTTGCCTGGTGGAATTTTCTACCCTCTGCTCCACCCACACACTGTTCTGTGGGTTCTCACAATCCCCTCCCCAAAGCCTTTTTGGGGGAGCCCCTTTGTGCTAGTAGAAGTCCTTGCATGGTCTTCCACGGACAAGGCTTATCCCTCCCATATTCTTCATCACCAGCCTTTTGCCAATGTGGCCCTCCAATCCAAACTAGCCATCCTCAATTCTAAGCCCAGTTCTCAGCCAGGGGAAATCACTATTCCTTATATCCTTGCATTTCTTCTTATACTAATATGTAGTGTGTGTGTGTGTGTGTGTGTGTGTGTGTGTGTGTGTGTGTTCTACACGCTGATACAGTGACTTCCATTTTGCATCTTTCTTTACCAGGACCTACAGCTTTACCTCTCCAATCTGGCCAATCAGATTGATCGGGAAACAGGGATAGATGTGCCATTGGTCATCCTTCTTGATGACCTCAGTGAGCCTGGCTCTATCAGCGAGCTCGTCAATGGAGCACTCACCTGCAAGTACCACAAATGGTGAGAGACTGATTTACAGTACTATCGCATTTGACTCCTACCTCTTAATAGCAATCTTACACTCAAGGAAACAGGGGTGACTAACCTTTTCTGGGTTCAAGGGCTGCTTTATCTCATGGTCAGCCACCCAGGGGTTGCATGTTGAAGTGGGTGAAGTTGCTTTCCAAAGGACAATCCCGTTAGCCTTTAATACACAATTTTCAATAGTTTATTATAAAATTGAGAAGAAAATAAAGTTTTTTTTATTTTTGGTGTGTTTTTTAAAAAAAATATAGTTTGGAGAGTGGGGGATCTTGGGATGGCCCCAAAAACTCTTTGGCATCACGGTGGTGGCTCTATGGGAGCAATCAGTTAAAATTTTGTTTAAATTGGGGGGGTGAATATTGAAAATGAAAACGGAATTGGAAGGAGAGGGACAAACCTTATTTGCATTGGAGGAACCATGGGAGCAGTCATTTTTTATTTTAAAAAAAAAGAACTATAAAAATTTTTTGTTAAAGAGTGGCAAGTGTGGGGAGGCCACTAAAACCCTTCTTGGGAGTTGCAGATACTGTGTTCTAACATAAGAGCACTGCTGAATCAGGTCAAAGGCATTTATGCTCTACAGCTCACAAGGTCTGGCAGATGGTGCGGTGCTGTGGTGCCCTGCTGTGTATATGGCTCTGCCTATCCTGCCACTCTCAGTGGGGCAGTTGTTGATGATGATATGGCTTTACTAGTGTCTCAGGCCTGCATCATAACTGTGTCTTGATTTCCCTACCAAGGAAGAGAACTTCTCCACCCCTTGTTCTATGGCGTGGAGTGGCCAAACCATGGCACAATTAATATTACTGTTATTTAATGGGCTTACATACCACTTTTTGTCACAAGTGATCTCAAAGCAATTTACATTTAAAAATAGGTCATATCATAAGTCAAGTCACAGGACACAATTCAGATAACATGTAGAAATGTCAGCAGCATCAATATTAATAATTAAACCACACCAGCACATGACAGCAGGTTGTGCATGAATGATGCAACAACATGGCTTAAGCAAATTGTTTGGATCTCCACGGGATTGGACCTACCCACATGTAGTTGAGTCATTTAGATTTTATTTGTTTAGCTTTCAAATATTACATGCCTTCAAGCTCTTGATTTGGTCCCTGGAAGGCAGCGAATTCACAGTGAATAAGACAAAATTCACTTGAGTGATATGGATTTTAGCCGCAGCATCCCTGCAGGTTACTGAGCCTGCCTTTCCAGCATTCTTGTGTTGCTGCTCTCCAGCTCAGCTAAGAGCAAAACCATTCCAAGACCAAGGTGGCCATGTCTGCATTGTACTGTGCATGGGTGGAAAGTAGCCTTGCCAGAAAAGGCTGAGCAGTACTCTGCTATGAGCCCATCTTTTCTTTGGCCAGAGAGAAGTGTGTACCCCATTACCAAGAATTTCTGGGCCAGGGAAAAAGCTTCAGATGATATTAAGGGCACAGCCAAGTTTTATTACACATTCAGATTTTTATATTCCACCTTTGTAGGAAAAGTGCATACTGCAGGAAGCTTGCAGAATTCTAGGCTGGATGAGCTGATTCAGCAGAGCTCTTCTTATGTTCTTAATATCCTAAATATAGGACTGTCATCATATCAGCTTTTGGCACATGCCTGAATCTCAGCACAGCCCTTGTTCTTATTAGCAAAACTTCCCTCCATTTAACTCCCCCCCCTCCATAGCTCTGTTCTGCTGTCTCTTACAGAGTGGGGGGTGGGGGGAATTGATATGAGCAAGAGACATTTTGTTAGTCATAGTCAAAACCACTTCTGGATGTGAGGCAGGCACTATGTTGAGAGCTGGGGAGTGACAGAGTAAACAGCTTCCAGACATTCCCCCTGTTAGGATGCATCATCTCTGATAGAGCTGCTGTTCTCTCTCCCACCAGCCCCTATATCATCGGGACAACCAACCAGCCTGTGAAGATGACTCCAAATCATGGCCTTCATCTCAGCTTCAGGTAAGGGCAGCAATGATGATCCCAATGGAGGAGGCAGGATTGTGCTGGGCTTTGAAATAGCATCTCCTCTGTTCCCACCTGACAGTTCCAGAAGCTGTTATTCTGCTATGGGAAGGACTATATATAATCCCTATCATTACTAACCTGTCATCTTAATGCTACAGGATGCTGACGTTCTCTAATAACGTGGAGCCAGCCAATGGCTTCCTGGTGCGCTATCTACGCCGGAAGCTGCTTGAGTCCGACAGCGATGTCAATGCCAACCGGGAGGAGTTGCTGCGTGTGCTGGACTGGGTGCCCAAGCTCTGGTACCATTTGCACACCTTCCTGGAGAAGCACAGCACCTCTGACTTCCTCATTGGTAAGTGGTGGATTGAGCTATGCTGGCTGGAGATACTGTCAGGAACAAGGATTGCCATTCAGGAAACAGGGGAGGGATGTTGAATGTTGTTGTTGGTCAACTAATGGAGGGATTCCAGGGCTCAAGGCTGCATGAAAGCTACAACCTGTCTTTTGGCGTGCTTGCCATTTATTCCTAGTAAATTAGGTGTTTGCTTTTCTCCCACCATTGAGTAATCAGTCTGTATATACTCAGAGGCACTCTCAATTGTTAGTTCAATTTTGCCATTGCAGAATAATTGCTTGATTTCCATATGTCAGCATAGGACCACTGGCTGGACTGTGGTTCCACCCGTTTGATAAAGGTAGGAGTCAAAATTTAGGAAGTAGGCAGCTTCCTCTTCAGTTTAATGGTTTTAATTTTCTGGCTCCAATTAAGCCCTGCTTTCTGCTACATGTTTAACAGCCAAATACCAGAAGTTCTCTTCAGTATTTCAGATGCAGATCAGATCCAAGGTACGGATTGTTCAATAGTTTAGTCATTCCTTTTGGGTTGTTGGTTCCTCTGTCTGCTTCAGAGCCTTGTTTGATTAACCCCTGGAAAGTGACAGCAATTAGGGAATGTACTGATGTATTGAATTGGTATCCTGCTTTTCCTACACGCAGCTCAGTGTGGCAGAGATGAGGTTGTCCTCACAGTCTTCTGATTAAGTTTGCTAGACTAAGATATAGTGACTTGAACCGGACCAGTAAACCTACTGGTGCAAGTCTAGCAATCTATCCAATACACTTCACTGACTTACTGTATCTGGCATAACAGTAATCCTCTGAGGCAAAGAACATGGCATGGGATTGGTGTTCTTTCGTGGGCTACTAGCTAATGCCCCCCATTTTCATTTTCCTTACCAGGTCCCTGTTTCTTCCTGTCATGCCCCATTGGTATTGAGGATTTCCGGACCTGGTTCATTGATCTGTGGAACAATTCCATCATCCCCTACCTTCAGGAGGGAGCAAAGGATGGGATCAAGGTACATTTGCCCACACCCACATCCTCACTAGTAATGGTGACTGTGCCCTGCACCCATTTGCATGGGTGGATTGCTTAGTTAGAAGCTGCTCTGCTCGAAATTGTCCATCATCAAGGATCTTGCAGCAAAGCTGTTTCTTCAGATGTCATCCAGCTCCTGCTTGAATGTACTCTGAGCTTCCACCCACCCAAAAGATGGGGGGGAAGTGCATGTGTATGTGACTTGTTTCTCAGTATTCTTTTGTGCCTATCCCCATTGCAGGTGCATGGGCAGAAAGCTGCCTGGGAAGATCCTGTGGAATGGGTGCGAGACACGTTGCCATGGCCATCGGCCCAACAAGACCAGTCAAAGCTCTATCACCTTCCCCCACCCAGTGTGGGGCCCCACAGCACTGTCTCACCCCCAGAGGAGCGGAGTGGCAAGGATACTACACCCAACTCTCTGGAATCAGACCCCTTGGTATGTCTTCAGGCTGCAAAGGGGGACTGCTGCCAAACAAGAGGCTTTTGAAGGCTGGATCTCTTTGGCACAAGGGAATTAAGTTGGGACCACAATCCATCTGTTGGATGAGTGGCCAAACTCTTTCTGTGGCATGCCATACCTTGCCAACCATTGCTTTGTCACAACAGTTGTAGCAGGCACCTTGGTTACTGGAGTACAGTTCCTTGACACCAGAGGTTGCTGGATCCTACAGTAGGCTGCGTTTCCTGAGGGTTGGGGGCTTAGCCAAACAAGTACAGTGGTGCCTCGCAAGACGAAAAGAATCCGGTCCGCGATTCTCTTCGTCTAGCGGTTTTTTCGTCTTGCGAAGCAACCCCATTAGCGGCTAAGCGGATTAGCGCTATTAGTGATTTAGCCCTATTAGCTGCTTAGCGGGCTTAGCGGCTAAGCTGTTAAAAGCCTATTAACGGCTTAGCGGCTTTGAAAAAGGGGGGGGGAGCAAAAAAAAAATAGCGAGACTCGCAAGACGTTTTCGTCTTGCGAAGCAAGCCCATAGGGAAATTCGTCTTGCGAAGCGCCTCCGTGACGGAAAACCCTTTCGTCTTGCGGGTTTTTCGTCTTGCGAGGCATTCGTCTTGCGGGGCACCACAGTACCATATGACAGCTTTCCATTGACTATAAAACAACACTCCTGTGCCAGTTTGCCTTTAGGGGGAAGTAGAAAAGCAGTGACTCTCCCCTTCTCACTTGGAAATCTCCCCTTCTTAGCTTTTGAACACTGTTCTATAGAACTGTAAGTTCCTACTAATCAGGACCTTGCCCTGCCTTGCAAAAGGATTTCCCCTGCTTTTTATGTTTGTAGGACCCCCTCAAATAATTCAGTGCATTGTGTTTTTTGCAGTACAGTTTTTGAGGCATAAAGAAGCCAGGTTTTCTGCCCAACTAAGGAATATGCATTCTCCCCGCCCTCCCTCAACCAAGCATAGCAATCTCTAGGCCTTCCCTTGATAAGATCTATTGGGAGCCAGGATAGATTTATCATATGTATGAGTTGCATGCATTGAAACTAGTCCTTGGTGTTCTTTCTCCAATCTCAGAAGTCTGGCTGAGCAGTGTTGAGTTAACCCCTCCACTGGCTTATATCATTTCTCATATACCCAGAGGGGTGGGTGTATTGGAAGCTTCAAACGTACTGGGAACACCAGAGCCCATTCTAGGTTTCATCAGCTGACCTGCAGCAAGTCTTCCCATCTCACTGTGCATCCAGCATGTCCAATGTGTCTCACTGTGTGCCCAGCAAAATCCACTGGGACAATTGTATTGTAACGGAATAAAAACTCTTCTCTGCAGTGCATTGGCGACCTCTGTAGGTTACCAATGCAGCATTGGTGACCTCTTTAGCAAGCATAAACACCCTCCACAAGAGAGAAGAGCCTTAAAATGACTGTGCTGGGCAGCACTGCAAGGAAGTGGCCACAGGATGGCATGATAAGTGTAAACCAGAGAAAGAACCTGCCTCTACATACTGAATGAAATAGCTACATGGGATAGTTTTTAGCTTTGCTGGTGCACGTACACAATGCAGCAATGACAGCATATATTCCTTTGTAAGTCATGAGGAAAACTGCTGTGTAGTATATGAGTAGTCTTGAAATCTACAACTTGGGAACCACATTCCTAGCAGCTTCGTACTGAGGGATATTGGTGCAGCTATGTGTAGGAAATCTAGGATGGGCTATGTTGGGAATCTAAGGTGAGATATCCATGCAGTGAAAGTTGCTGCACACAGAAGCAGCTTAAGATACAAATAATTTACTGTTGCAGAAGATAAGGCTCAGTAAAACAGTTCTGGACATAGAGATATACAGGTTGTAGGCTTTTGCAGATACAGATATATACAGATTCATACATGTATAAAGTGTCTCCATTGCTCCAAATAAACTTCAGCAGTTCAGAACAGGACAAGTGACTCCAACAGACTGATGACTCAAAGACAGTCTTAACTGCAGACTAACAAATATTACTAAGTTGACATGCATTAATCACAGATATAGTTGGGTCATTGGGGCCATTAACATAGCAACTGTCTTGGCTGACCTTATACTTGCGATTAGTTAATCGATGGGGTGACTTACACTCATGAAGAAAATTACCCCCTTCCCATGCCTAGTTACTCCAACAGACTGATAATAGGGGAGAGGCTTAGTTTGGGCTTGGACTGTGTTAGCTAGTGCATGCTCTCGTAACATCTCTGGCTGGTCTGGCCTTCTGAAGGCCAAGTTCTGTCTTGGAAGGCATATGCAGTTTTATGGGCTTCTTTCTCCAGGGAGGCTTGCCAGGCACCTATGTTAATGTGTTTTTTTGGTGCCAGGCAAATATCCTTTTACGTCCTCAAGCATTTAACATCTGATGCGCCTCAAGAATCTGCCTTTATTGCTGTTATTTTATGCTATCCTTTACTTATTGATTTGTTTTAATGGTTTTGTTGTTATTAGCTTGTTAACTATCCTGGCAATGCTTACTGAAGGACAGCATACAAATTTGCAAAGTAAATAAAACGAGAGAATGCAACTGATTTGTGGAGGTTGCAGCTATGACTCATCCCACCCACCCCTAATTGGCTTTAATTCATTAGATGTGTTCTTTCTTTTAAGCATAGTCCCCACCCTCTGGGGATAACCATCAAAGCCCTCTCACATTATGAAGTTGAATTATTCTCCTCCCTGAACATGGTTATCTACTCACAATCTACTCAGAAGTAAGGCCCATTAGATTCCATGGGCAGTATCCAACTAATGTGTTCCATCAACGCAATGAAAGCTTTGCCTGTGTGCCTCCTAGATGTGTTTTAGGAGTTTCCTCAATCCTCTGGAGCAGATTTGGGGAGCATCCAGGATGGAACGGTGGGTTCCATTTGAAATTTTGGAACTCATCAGTTGGATACTGGCCCATCAGACTGACTCCTAGGTTGAGTGAGTATAGGGTAACAGCGTGAAACTGTAAACAACATTTTTTTCTCTGTAAGCAGTGCAGCTTTAAATAACCATAGCAAGTTGTGTCTGACCTCCTGTATGTAGCAGGACATCTGAACCATTGTCTTCTGCCTTGGGCAGAACATCTCATCTTAACAAACACAGATGATAAGGCTTTATCTGGGTTTACTACCTTGGAATCCTGATCCCCAATTATCCTTTCCATATTCCTCTGGAGTGCTCAACCAGGGTATGGGGTCGCTTGTTCTCAGGCATTGCAGGCTGCCCTGCTTTTGCAGAGCTATGTTTATAAAAGGGGGAAAGGTCATTACTCAGCAGTAGAGCAGAAGGTCCCAAGCTCAATCCCTGGTGTCTTGAGGTAGGGCTGGGAAGGACCCCTCTCTGTAGATAGTACTGAGCTAAATGGATCTGAATTCATCATTATCATCATCATCATCATCATTATTACCACCACCATATTTTATTATGGTGCCATTACCTGCCATTCGCCCTAAGGTCCCAGGGAAAATTACAACATTAAAGCACAATATTAAAAACAGTTTAAAACAACGGGCAATCATTAAAACACAGTGGGTCCTAAAAATATACACAACAGCTTTCTATGTTCCTTTTTAAAAGCCTTGGGGATACTTTAGCTTCTTGCTTTTTTCTCCCATGCAGATGGCGATGTTGCTGAAGCTCCAGGAAGCAGCCAACTATATTGAGTCTCCCGACCGAGAAACCCTGGACCCCAATGTGCAGTCGACACTCTAAAGGTGACTGGATCAGGATGGGACGGAGACTGGAGTGAGCTGGTCTCGGCTGCCTTCGCTCCTCGTTCTTCTTTGTTTTCTTTTGTATCTGGAACCTGTGGTTTGGAACAGAACACCACAGATGGACGATGGAGGAGGCCACTTGACCCTCCGCTGCAAGATACTGCTCCCCCACCCCCCAATGAGTATGGTGGTAGGAGAATGATGATTTTTATTCTTAGGCTTTTTGCCTCTATCATAAACTCCTGGGCTTTGCAGTATGGCTGGGTGGGTGGCGGTGGTGGGACGTTACTAAATCCCTCGGATCCAGGGTTCCCAGCATCGGAGTTCCTGTATAGGGTAAAGACTCGAGACCTTGTGGAACTGGCCACTGCATTGTTTGCAGGGCAATGCCAGCAGGCAGGGCAACAGACAAGTTTGTGGTTCCCTAACATGAGGATCTTTTTATTAAAAAAAAAAAGTAAAGAAAAGCAAAAACCCAGAAAGGAACCTGGAAGTATCTGAGTAGAAGAGTCGCCGCTGCAGCAATCCAGCTGTTGCCGTAACTGTTTCCCCTCCGGATGCTTCCCTACCACAACAAACATAGGCAAAGGCCTAGGACTGTTAACTCTGTCTTTGTACCCTCCTTATTTAATCTGCATGATCGTCCTTTTACATTCAGACTTCCAATAAACTCTGCATTGTTTTCCCCCCTTTTATTTTATTTTGGTTAAGCTGGGCCATTCTGTTTGGTTTTTTTGGTTCTAGGAATTCTGTTTCGGTTTTTAATCACCTGGTACTAGTTTCACAGGGAGGAGCCACTTGGTTTCTTAGAGGGGTTTTTTGTTTGTTTTGTTTTGTTTTTGTTCAGTTCACCTTTTCTCTGTTCTACCACTCTGTAAATTCCATCACGGTGGTCCCTCCAAACTGAAATTGGTGCTGACTGGATGACCTCCAGTAACCAAACTCGCCTTGTGGGTCCTTGCAGCTTGCATCAGATGCACACAGGGTTGAATCAGCAGCACAACCTTCTCAAAGATGCACAACCTGCTGGATGGGCTCCCCTTCCTGTCCCCTTCTTTTATCATTCCATTCCTGAAAGCACAAGAGGCCTACCAGACTGGGACCAAAGAAAGAGCAGTGGGGCAGAGGATGCTCTGCTGTGGTCCTCACTTGCGCAGCAAAACCATCAAATGCCTCCAGAGCTAAAGATCTCTCCCAACTTTGCCCAAATACTGACCTTTCCTCTGCTCACCTTGCAGAGAGAAAGGGAGGAGGGTGGTAGATAACTTTCAAGAGAGTGAAAATGTAGCACTGTTAAATGTTCAGTCTTAGGGTGTCGCTTGCTTGATTTCCAAACAAGGAACCATCCACGAAGTGACCCAAATCAAGCAAAGATCTACTTCCACCCTGGTGCTGTCAGCTGCCTTAACCGGTACAAAGTAGTGCTCTGATTTAGGTTAGATCTGCTTTCCTATACAGTTGGTGATAGTATACAACTGCCACACCCTTTTGCCTTTTGGTTCTAGATTGTGACTTCCCTTAGGTGAGTTTACATACATTTTCTATTGGGGGTGGGGAGTCACAAAGCCCTCTCTGAGAGCAAAGTTCACGACATGTTTCATGAGCTCCTCAACCTCCTTGGCCCTGATCAACAACTAGTTTTCCTGAAGGGCCAGTTTAAAAGCAAAGTTAGCAGTGAAAAGCCAACATAAGCAGCAGTTACCATGTTACCAATTCAGATACTAGTTTTAGAAGCCTGTAGCCTGGATAAAATAAGGGGGGAAATCTGAATCTAGTTTCCATGGCATTTCTTTAGAGAAGGTTTATATTATATCACTTAGCCAGAAGCCAAATAATTGTTAGTTTCTCCATAACACAGGTCCTGGCTTTTTCAACTCAAGTATTGTAGGAGTTCATTTCATAGTGCAGCAGAATATATACAGCACAATGCAGGGAACAGGATTTCAGCTCTCCTGATATAAACTAATAGGCTTTACTCTATGCAGTATTCACTTCCTAACTAGTGTTTAGTTTTACTAATATGCTGATCTAATCATCAGCTCCTCACTCTTATGATGCAGAAGCCACTAGGGTTTATTTTATGCTAAATGATTAATAACAGGATTCATGGATAGATACACTGTGCCAAATACCTCAAGGATCGCATCTGAAATCACTCAAGGTCCTACTTAGTTCCATGTGATTCTTAGCATTTATTTAATAGCATTTTTATCCTGCTCCTTAGCCTAAAGGGGGCTTCCAGGGCAACTTACAAAAATCAGTACTTAGACAGTCCCTGCCCCCAGGCTTGCAACTGGAAGAGATGTAACACACAAGGAACAGGGGGTGGGGTGGAAGAGGAAAGTAGGCAAACTCAAGCACCAGTTCTTAAAGTTACAGTTCTTTTATAGCTACCAGCTAGGATAGGAAAGAGTTCCGGCAGCCTGACTGAGTGATGGCTAAAGGATGGCCGGAGGCAGCTGGTGTCCCAGGAGAGGTGATGGGATAGTCTTGTTTTGCTTCTCACCCTCTGCTCTGCAGCCTAATGGAGCTGCTGCCACTTGCAGACATTTGAGTGAGACTTCCCATATTTTCAGTATTTCCACTGCAATCTTGAGGTCTAGAAATTGTGCTTTCTAAAAGTGAGAATGAAGATTCTTAGGACTCTAGATTATGTGCCACGTCCTGCACTTGCTGAGTCATTGTACAGAATGTATATAATTTTAGTCCCCCTGCCCAATTTTTGCCAGAATGAGGCTCCTGAAGTCAAAGCTCATTTGTTTTCCTTGTGTAACTATTATGGAATCCTGCAACAAAATGTTGCAGTGTGGAGTTCTCATTCCCTCTCCCTCAGTTTTTAATTCTTCTCTCCCACAACAGTCAGCATTTGGTGCCCACTGAGCATCCTCATTCCTCAGTGGACATTTTTCCTCTCTTAAAATATTTTTTGTACTTCAAACATTGGGGTTCCCTCCATCGTATGGGTGGATCCCTCTATCTCTTGCTTGAATGGGGCCATTTTGGCTACATAAGAATCCACACTAGGAGAATGGGTTTATCATTCGCATCTAGGATGTCATTAATGTATAGTCAGCCTGCAGTGAAGGTACAAGTGGCACAAGCAGCAGGTATGCTCTGACATGCTTGGCAAACAAGACAAAATGCCTTTGGGCCCAGCTGTGGCTGAATCAGGCTTGCAGGTTGTCCTGCCTCACCAGTGCTGCCTGCTCCTTGGCTCAGCAGCTGAGAGCCAAAAGCAAACATAAGGAACCAGTGACTGCTGGAAGACTGGAGAGAAACAGACAGAGACAGAGAATGGACTAGAATGGTGCTTCCTCTCTCAAACTTTGCATTTGAGTTTGTTGCACAATTGCCAAAAAGTTTGGCCAGCACTGTAGTAATTAATTACAAGTAGTGACGAAATCAAGTGCAGAACTCAATGGAAGATTTTGCAGCACTTTTCTTTGAGCCAAAAGAACTAAATGACAAATTGCTTGGCATAAGGTAGGACTGTGTAATATACAAAAGCGACATTCCTGGCTTTCTGTTTCTTCATTGCAGACACTGTTCTTCTCACCCAACCCAAGTTTACACACATGTGTACACACACCACACACACACACACACACACACACACACACCACCTAGCAGCTGCCTCATACTGTGTTGTTTCAGCTGGGTTTTCATGGCGAACAAAACAACAGGGAGTAAGTGGTGGTGTTCTCAAATGTTGTATGACTGCACAACAAATTTAACAGGGGTTTTTCTGGGGTTAGTGTTAATTGTCTCTGCCATTATTGCAAACAGACTTTGATCTAGTCTCCTGACCTTTTTGAGGTCTCTCTGTCTTTTTTTCCAAGCAGAATGTATTTTACTGGTGTGGCCAAGGGAGTCTTCTAGGAGCTTGCCCATTTGCTGCTAAAATCTCTCCCCTCCCCAATCTGAATTGGGGACGGGAAAAGTAGCAAGGAGAAGTGGTTCGGTATAGACAAGCATTTATTCTCCAGTTGTATCTTCCTCAGTGACCTTATGCACAAGCAGGGGAAGGTGGGGGAGCCTTATGAGCAGTACAGAGCACTGTATGATCTTATCACAAGGATGGGTGGGTTTTCATCAAAGGCAAAGAAGGTGCTCTCTTGGGGAAAGGCTCTTGTGCTTTTGAATTGAAGTTGTGCTGCTGTCACACTGTGCTGATCTGAGCAAAAATGCAACTTGAATGATGAGACTGGAGTTGCCCATGGTGCTGAAACTGCCTTAATTGTCACAATTTCAAGGAAGGGGAGCCCCTAGCCATGAACTGGCGGATCTTGCCACAGACCAAGCCTGTTGTGGCCTTCTAAACCCAGACCACATTTAATATCTCCTGCCTTCAGCACAAGAAGCCCAGGGAGAGAAGGTGGAGCTCACACTTAACCACTTCTTTGCTGAGCTTGTTTCTGGTCCCATCAGTCACAGTGCTTGCTATTTGGAATGCCTTTAGGGGATCAGCTCGGTAAATAGTATGGCAGGCGTCTTTCATCCCAAGACACCTAGATGACATGAAGAAAACCACCCTTCTGTCCCTGCCTACTTACATACCACTACAGATGCTTAGTCCTCAACCAAGGGAGACTTTTGTTTGTTGGGTATAAGACTGGGCTAAGTGTTCCACTCACTTCAGAGTCAAATGGGTCTAGCTAGCCAAATGACTTCAGAAGATCACAGCCATGTTTACGTATTAGCAGGGTCCAGGGCCAAGGCAGTCACCTCTGTTAGAATCTAAATTTCTCTTTGAGAGATAGGAAAGAAGCCAGGAAAAGGACTATTTCGTTTCCAAATCAGGCCAGAACCGACCAAATTTACATTACCAAACAGAAAGGTTACTGGCTTTGCCATCAAAGGAGGAGTCTCCAGGATCTTGGGTTTTAGACCAGAAGCCTCTTCTAACCCCCAAAACCGATTTGGAAGAAAATGGCTTCTTTTCCTCTCCCTCCTCCCTTCCCATGAGGGATGAGAGGCAATGGGAGAGAAGCAGTAAGAGTGATAGCTTGGCTACTCTCAATCCAACAGCTTCTGCCTAATATGAGGAGGTAGCTGAGCAGTAAGTGGCATTCAATCCCAGCTTCCTGCTCCCATTGCCTTTGCTGGGGCAAGCACCCTCCTCCACTCTCTGGCAAGGGATTTGCCCACCCCACCTCATCTTAAAGGGAATAGCATTTCCCCCTTGCTCACACCTCACAGTGGTGAGCACCCAGTTTCCTGCATCTGCAGAGCTGCAGCCTAAGTATTGAAGCAGCCCCACTTCATTTCCTCTCTGCAGTTGGGCAGTGGATATGGAAAGGCTCCCCCTCACACTTGGATGTTCATCCCTGCCTTTAGCATCTTGCAGGTCCCTTCCTTACAGGCTCCCTGTTTCACACCTCTTGAGGTGGTTTGGACATTCTCCCGTCCTATTGCACAGGGTTATAAATAGACATTCCACCACAACAGAGATCATGGATTTAAATCTACCTGGCCATCTTCAGCACTTGGCAAAAAGTCATTGGGAATCCCTAATCCAGGAAACTCAAGGATTTCAGATGCATCCAGGTTTGGGTCCTCACCACATTTGCTCTGGGCATTCAGATGAAAAAAAATTACCATGTGCACAAGGCTCTGGGTCCCATTGTGATCCCTAGCAGGCATTCCAAAAGAACCTTCCTACCCAACCTTTTTGCAGATGGCACCAAGCACAACCCAGCCATTCAGCCTTTATCAATATCAGGAGTGTGCTATCACATTATGTAAAGCTTGAGAAAGATACCATTGTCAGCCGCATGGCAGCTGTAAGTTATGGGAATTGTATCCAGGGGTCATGGCTTGGTGCAACTCCCACCCTCGCCCCCCGCCTTCCTTTTAATGGCCAGCTTGCAGGGCAACTCGACCATTCAAATATGTATGTATAAATTTTCTCAAGGGTAGATCCATGTTAACCGTACTGCAAGAGATTCCAGCCAATTGGCCTGTGCAGATCTAAGGTGCTTGTATCTCTTTGTATAACTATATACATATGTACATACATATCCTGTTTAATGTAATTGAAACCTTGGAGCTGTCCGCTTGCTCTGGAACCCAGCAGGTGGTGTGATGGGCTTGGACAATGGGAGAAGGTGAATGCTGGCTGGTTTAAGGCAAGCAATTCTTCTGAAAATTTCAATTGCATGGGAATAGTCCTGTATAAACAAGCTGTCACCGTCAATTGAATAGGTGCTATGTATGTCCTCAGATTATATAAATTAGTTTTTAATCCAGGTTTAAATTTTATGTAGAAAAGGCACAGAGCAGCCTAGAGAAAGAACAATAGCCTCAGCTTGATTAGTTTAGCCATATAGCAGACAATGCAACATTCTTTAGCCTCTTTCTAAAACTTCTTTTCAGTGTTTAAAAAGTCCTTGGTGTGTCACTTCCCAAGCCGCCTTTATTTGACTCATCCATACCAGGTCTTTGCAGACCTCTCCTTGCTGAAGTTCCCATTACAAATGTCCTTCTTGCCTAGGACTTGTGTTCTGCCAACAATGACAGAGGAGACTTGATCTCAATCTCTCTCTGGAGTCCCTTTAGCAAGTTGCTAATACTGAACTCTGCATTATGTATAATCCCAGTTTTTTCCAGGCACTTTAGTCGGAGCTATTTCCTTTGCATTATTAATCTCTGTAGTCATACTAGAAAACTTAACTTGAAAGACATTCACCTAATGAACAGAAAAGGGGAGCAGGGAAAGGAGCCCCCAGAAGGATAAATGGGGGATTTTGTGTATTGAAGTACTATTCATATGCAATACTAAATTCACAGAAATTCTGTAAGAGCTGCAGCTGAAATAATTCTCAATTCATGAACCTCTTTCATTTTAGTACTTAATTGCCGAGTTTACCTTTCCCCCTAAATAGTGGTAATTTGTTGCTGACCAATTGTAGTAAGGATCAGGACCTTGGCCTGTGGGTGTCTGCCTAGATGCTGCCACTTCCTCTGGAAAACATGAAGGACCATCATAACCTGGCATGCATTGCAATTGTAGCTGTTAACAAGAGTTTCCAAGCAGAACCCAGCTGCACTTGTCAAGGACCACAGTAACTAGCAAAGAGTGGTTTCCATTTCTTCCATGCACTGAAGTGTCTATTCCTGCATGTCCCATCTTTTATACTCCTGCCCTCATTGAGTTAACACATCACTCTGGTCTAACCAAAGTTACAAAGAGACCTGCCAATGTAAATTCATAAATCATTTAAGACCGAGCCACTAGCAATCTGGCCCCCAAATCTCAGCAATTCAGAGGTACCCTTGCTGCCTGATCTTGTGCATGCTTACTCAGATGCCAGTCCCACTGAGTTAAATGTGGCTTACGCTGAAGTAAGTGTGCCATAAAGAGCTAACAGAATTTGCATTAAGCCAGCCAGAGGTAGGAGGATGTGCACAGCCTGGTCGGTTTCTCTGCCCTCTGTCCAGTCAGGATCAGCCTTGTCTTCATGTTTTGGTGCTCTCTCTCTCCCTCCCTCCCTCCTCCCTTCCCACGCTGTTCCTCTTCCTCCTTGCTGGGTTTTCTTGAAACTGCAATTTTCTCGCTGAGCACCCAACCCCTCAAACACCCTGTTGTATTGGGGCTATTTTGCACAGTGATGTACAAGATGCCAGGCCTCGTGTCGGCTTTGGCACAAAAGTTCCTCATTTGCCTTTTTTTCTTTGGTTGTTTTGCTCTTGTAGGATAAGAATATACTGTAAATAACCTGTAACTGAATGGCCTGAATGAATCTGGGGGACCAGCCATGGGGGCTGGGCCCTGTGTCTGTGAAGCGTCATGCTGGAGGTTTTTTTCTTTTTCTTTTTTGTACTACGTGTGAGTAACTGTGCTGTGCTGACTCATTTCTGATTGTATGATGTACACCTCCCAGCAGTTGCTATGGGCCAGTGGGACAGGGTGGGAACAAAATGCCTTCTAATAATAGGAGTTGGCCTCCCTCATCTCTCTCGCTGCTCGCTCTGCATTTGCTCAATACTTTTCACAAAGTTGCAGAGTCCAATCTAGTAAGGCTGTCACAATAAGATTATACAGCTCAGTGTTTTCTTCTTAGCCACTTTCTCTCTTTGTACTGGTGCTATCGTAACAGTGTTTGCAGAGCAGAAGAGCACTGCCAATCAGTTATAGTTGAGCAGGGTGAAGTGGTAGGTCTTGATCCCTATAAGCAGGCTAGGATATTGAGTGGGAGGTCCTGCTGGAATCAGGTTAATTCACAGTGAATTGGGGATGGACACTAAATATCCAGGACTTTCCCATCCCCATTTAGTTCTTGCTTTCTGCTTTTGTATGTTTTGGCTTATGCTCTGTGAAACCTTCAGAGACTGGGTGGTTTAGTTTATCACATTGAATTGTTAATAACACTAAGTACATTGCAGGATGTTGTTAGGTAGAGGATAGGAACGCCACAACTTTGCACATTTTAAGTATATGACGATTTGAAATAATCCTGTTGAGTTTGAACTTTTGTTTAATATGAAACTTTGTACATGCTTCAGATGGCTAAAACATGACCAGTCATTGCTCCTAGTAGGGTAAGACATCTTAAATTCACATCTTATCTGTCTCCTACCCTGCCTATGAGCCAAATCATTAATTAAACCTACACTTTTATGTATTGAGTTCAACCCATTATTATATTTTTCTTCCCAGAGGTATCAGATGTGTTACAGTGCAACTTGATGCATATTTACTCAGAAGTAACTGCTGCTGCTGCATTTGGGCATGGGAGAAGAGCTTGAGTCCCAGAAAGTACGTTTAGGATTAAGGATAATCTTATGAGCAGTTCCACCATGAGGCTGTATCCTGGACAAATCTTCCAAATTAGGCAAATTGTGACCTGGTCACAATTCCTAAGACCAGTTTGTCATTCCAAAATGAAGTCAAAAACATAAATTTTTTGAACCAGATCATTTCTATCCAAAAAGAGGTTTTAAGCCAGTTGTGTTGGGAGCATTTTTGTAGCCAGAAATCTTTGTTTCCCTTCATGCTGAAATGTCTTTTTGATGGTTCTAGGCAAAATGCACATGACTCTGCAACACATATTCCATTCACACAGCTCACAAAGTATCTCCAAGCTTTGAGCATCTCATGACTTCCACCATGATGAACGCTGCTCTGTAATGTGGAAGGCAGAAGGGTGGGCTTTCACTGGAGTAAATAGGACCTTATTTCTATCATTGCTATTACAAATGCAGACAGGCCCATTGGTTGCAAGTCCCAGAGAGCAGAATTTTAAAATTTTATTAAAGTGCCTGCTTTTTTGAAAAGATGCAGTTTTAGAATATTAACAGGCTGCCCCAAAAATATTGTTCATTTTTAAGGTGCCACAAGCCTCTCCCCCCCCAAAAAAACCCCAGACAAACATGGCTACCCTTCTGGGAATAGTTACAAAAACATTGTAAACAATATTGTTAACCAGAATCCTGCCAGAAAAGGTGTGTCTTACACTCTGTCAGAAACCTTTTCTTTCAGGAATGAAATTCAAAGAATAAGAGCAGGGGAAACTGCTGGGAAGGCCTGGCTTGTGACTCATCGTCCAAATCTCATGCAGAGGTGGCACAGACAGTAATGTCTGCTGCATAGAAATCAGCACCCGCCCGGCTTAAACAGAGCGAGAGACTGCATTCACATTTAACTTTTAAAACCAGCACCTTGAATTGGGTCTGGAAGCAAATTGGCAAGCAGTGCAGCCTCCCAACACCCATTAGTAGATCTGCCGCAGGAATCCGCACCAATTGAAGCTTCTGTGTCATCTTCAAGGGCAACCCAACATAGAGTGGCATTGCTGTAATAAACCAAGTTGCAGAAGCATGGATCAGCATGGCAAGGTGTGACATGTCCAGAAAATGAAAATGTTTCTTCTGAGCCAAAGATGGGGGGGAATAACTCTGACCTGCTTCTGAAGAAGCAGTTCTGGCTTCAGGAGTACCCTCCAGGCTTTTACCTGCTCAGATAGGGTTATAGAGATCCTACAGCCATTTCCCCTTCCCTGTCCACCTTGTCTCTGGCTTGTCAATTGTAACCTGTTATCCACTATTCCCTTTACTGCACCTTCCAAACTCAAAAGCGTTTGAGCAACAACAAGCCCATAAAGGAGGGTGCCTTATAAGACTCCTCTCTGCAAGATTATTATGTGATCTTTGTGATCATTGGCTTATGGCTAAGGCTGCAACTGGTGCACATACATCACTTGAGAATCTCATTTCAGTTGGTGGAATTTACTTCTGAGTAAACGTCATTGCAATGCAGGTATGTTTGTAGTAGAAAACACAATATGGCAGTAACAGAACTCAAACATTTAAGTGGATATCTAAAATGGAGAGGAGAGTGGAACCAGGGAGGAGGGAGAAAGAATCAGCATCAGCCTACCAACTTATCTCTGGTAAGTGTATTAACATGGTGGCATAGGCCTTAGATTCGTTCCTTAGTTGAGTGAGCTGGCCAACCAACATACAAAAAAACATGTGCCCTCTAAACACTACTACAAAATGAAAACAAGCTGAGGAATGATTTTATTCTGATTAGAAATTATAACTCAGAATGCTTCAAGCTGGGGACTTGGCATTGTGACCAAGTCATACAGACATTCCAAATGGGTTGCTCACAACAGGTTATTATAACTTACTAGATTTCCACTGGGAAGGGTAAATCTGGATTAAAGGGTGTGTGTGAAATAAGGACAGACATATAGAGGCTAGTGAGTTATGGATGCTGCAGAAAATACCCATGCATGAGGAGCACCCATCCCACAATAATCACCCTCCTGGAAGAACCCTGAAGCTAGCACTGTAAATGACTGAAGGCAAGAACAATTCCTTGGTAAACCTGAAAAGATTAAAAGGAAGCGTGCAGGAGCTGGAGCCCGTGGCTGTTGCCAAAAACCAGGGATTGTCTCTAATGGATTTCAGCTGGTCATAAACATACGAAGTTGCCTTGGTCCATCTGCTCTAGTGCAGTTTACTCTGACTGTCAGCAGATTTCCAGGTTTCACATGGAGATCTTTCTCTGTGCCTAGAATGGAAGCTGACATCCCGCTACCTGAGCTGTGGCACTTGTTCTCAGCTACAGGACCTTGTGGTTTCAAATGCAGAGAAACCCAGCTTCCCTCATTCCACACACCCCTTTTGCAGTCTAGCATCCAGATAGAAGCAAGTCTTTTACTGGGCAAGAGCAGAGGAGACCCAGCAGCGGCGCTGTGAGTAAATTGCACAAAGAACAATGGGATGGATGCCAAAAACCAAGGGTTGGAGTGGATGTCCTGCATGCTACTCAGCAGCAAATGAAGAGGGAGAGGGAAGAGGCCAGACTTTAATGCTATTCCAGCTTCAACCTCATATTGCAAAAAACGAAATAAAAATGGGGAAATTGGGAATTTCATCCATCTGATCATGAAACTCCAAAGGGCAAAGCTGGATGGTCCCTAGTGGCTCCTTCCCAGGGGCGTTGGTGCTAAGTAGCTGGGGGTTTCAGTCCCATGGAAAGCTAGAAGGAGGTTGCTGGAACACTGATAATTGCACTAATTCATCAATCCATCGGCAAACGTAGCATCCCTTCCCCGTCGTCCCTGCCAAAGACGTGTCACCCTTCTGCTTTTGCCAAGTCTCGAAGGTCTTGGCTCGGGGTGAAGCTGGGATAGCACCAAAGTCTAGGGTCTCCTTGGCTCATAAGCTACTGCTGACTGGTGGCCCAAACCTTACAATTTTAGCTTTTTTCTAATTAAAAATGCATTTTTTAAAAAAATTAAAAAGTGAAAGAATTCCTGTTTTAGAAGAGCTGTGTACTTGACGGATTCTGTGTTTCTTAAATGCATGGTGTTCCTTCCAGGGGGTTTTATAGCACTTTTTAAATTTCTCGGAAGATTTTTTGGTCCCAGTTTCTATGCTACCTTCTTTCTCTTTCTCTCTGTCTCTCGCCTTTTGTTTTGGTCTCTTTCTTTTGCGGAAACAGTTCTTTGTAAACCTGCAATCTGTTTTATACCTGATGTAGACAAAATTGAAATCAAAAATTCCAGATGTTGTACATAGCTGCGGAAACAATCACGGGGAACAACTGCCATCTGGACTGTTTCCAACATAGACCATTTGTACTTGTGGTTTTAAAAAAAGAAAAGAAGCCAGGAAAAGGCTTTAAAAGCAAAATAAAAATTAAAAATAAATTAATTAAAAATCATCAACAAAGTAAAGTAACAGCCCTCTTCACCAACTCATCTGTCTCTACTAAGCTGCTCATTCCATGCAGCATGTTCCTTCTGGGTCTGTCAGTCTGTCATAACACCATTTGAAGTTTAAATAAAGTGATCTCCTGTGTTGCCTGAATGTTGATCCTCTCTGTTTGGAAGAATGCTGACAAGAACCAGAGTCCTCTCCCTTTGATCAACACGATGGAATCATGTGGCACAAGGGATCTCAAGGTGCTGCCCACCTGGGCTTGTACCATTTCAAAATGGGGGGCGGGGGGCAGTATATGCATAATGGCTCCCTACCATCTACATGCTACATGCACATAGGTAAGTAGCACAGCCAGGAGAAGATAAGACTAGAAACTGAGACACTAGTTTTCCATGGGGATTTATGGAGAGCATCCAGCACCATAGTTTCCCACCTTGTGTCTGGAAGTGGTACAATTCAAGGACAACCTGGTTCTTTTTAACCTGGAGCTAATTTCTGGTTCCCTTACTAGTTGCGGTTGCCTAGGGGCTGATTGTGTGTGGCTATGTGTCTGTCTTCATCCCATTACCTTCTTCTGTCCTGTAATCCAAATGCTGCCCTGTAATCAGTGCTTTAGCAAAGCAAAAATGGGACTGGGGGAAAATGCAGTTCTCAGACTTGTTTCAGAACAGTCATGGCGACATCTTCTGCTGGAGGACCAGCATAATCGGCAGACCCTCATTGCCTCAGGCAAGTGAATTGAGTGATAATGAGGCTGTCAGTTTTTTCTACTATGTTTTATCAGATTAGCATGGAGCTGGGGTGCAGAATCACTAGCCCTTCAGATGTTGCTGGAGTGCAGTTCTCCTTATCTGTGACCATTGACCATGCTAGTTGGCGCTGATGAGAGGTAGAATCCAACAGCAGTTGGATTCAGGGGTCGGTTCCTCCACCCCTAGCATAGGGAAAGAATTAGAAAAATTTGAGGAGGCTGGATACGTCTTCGTCTTTTGTTTGATGCAGTTCCTACTTCACACCAACACTTCTTTTGCAAATTTGCATTTCAAATTAAACCTAAAGCTTTCATTTCAGCTGGCTGGAGGTTTTGTTGTTGTTTTGTTAAAGCTCAATAGGTTGGTTTACAAATTGAATCTGTGCTCTCAGAAGCAAGCACCTCTGAGTTCAGTGGAGCTTACTCCCAGGTAACTATGATTGTAATCACGCTACATGACTAACATAAACAGGTCTTCCCAATCATACTCAAACATGCTAACCACTACACCACACCTTTTTATCATATATAATATAAAGTGGCAAGTGGGGTGCAACACTGTTATGTCTTGGACCCATTGTTCAACATATTTATAAATGACTTGGATAGTGGAATGAAGGGATGCTCAACATATCTGCAGATGACACCAAACATGGAGGGGTAGATAAGGCCACAGAATTGGTAATCAATATGGCCTTAACAGGTTGGAGAGCTGGGCCAAAACTAACAGAGTGAATGTAAGGTTCTACACTTAGGCAGGAAGAACCACTTGCACCAATGGGGGGCACTTGGCTTGCCAGTAGTATATGGGAAAAGGATCTAGGGGTCTTAGTAGACCACAAGCTTAACATGAGTCAACAGTGTGATGCAGCAGCAAAAAAAGGTCAATGGTCTTCCTGGCTGCATCAACAGAAGTATAGTGTCCTGATCAAGGGAAGTCATAATACCACTCTATTCTGCCTTGGTCAGACAACACCTGGAGTCCTGTGTCCAATTCTGGGCACCACAGTTTAAGAAGGATATTGACAAGCTGGAACATGCGCAAAGGAAAATGACCAAGATGAGCAAGAGTCTGGAAACGGAGCCATATGAAGAATGTTTGAGGGAACTAGGTATGTTAAACCTGGATAAGAGAAGGCTTAGAGGAGATATGATAGCCATCTTTAAAAATCTAAAGGGCTATTACATGGAAGATGGAGCAAACTTGTTTTCTCTTGCTCCAGAGGGTAGGACTCAAACCAATGGATTCAAGTTCCACACAAAGAAGATACAGACTGACTTTCTGATAGTAAGAGCCGTTTGACAAAAGTGGAATGGACTCACTTGGAAGGTGGTGGACCCTTTCTAAGCTTACTCTGTTTCCTGTGAAACCAACCACTGCCCAGACCAGTACCAAACTATCAGATGAATGTTGGTTAAAAGACTCTCATCACTGTAGCCTGCCTCTTCACATTGACTAGGATATGGGTGATTGATTAGTCTCCATTATCGGACCATTTAGTGCATTTTGGTGTGTATTGTTCTGAGTGATTGGGTCTATTCACTGAAGAAAGTGTGTCAACTCCACACCAGCTCTTTATTTCCTGCTCATTGGTCACTTTGCTTGTTAGCACAACCTCATGACATCTGACAGGACTCATCAATGACAGCATTGATTCCAAGGGAAGCCAATGGGGAGAGTCTAACCCAATAGCAGAATTTGGCTGGAGCTCAGGATGTGATGGTTGCTAGAGGAATATTTTATCAAACAATTGCTTGCTGGCTCCCCAAAAAACCAGTGGGGAGTAAGGGATTCTCAAGGTCACTACACTTAAACGGATGTTGGTACAGATGCAGAGGTAGAACAAAATTGCAGTTCCACCGATTGTTGAAATCATTGATGACTGAGCTGATTTTAACAGACAAAAGTTGAGATGTATCATCACCATGATGTGGGGGTGGGGGCCTGTTTTGATGAGACAACTGCAATCTTATTGGGAAGCTCTGCTGAATACAATGCTTTGCACAGGTGGACATATCTGAGGGTGATGGCATCTACCTTGTGGAATGTTTTCCCCACAGAACTAACGATGTTGGATGACTTCCACTGGAAGTTAAAAATACACTGGTTTACCCAGTTATTTTCCTGATCTCCCCCAGTATTGCCTTTATATTCCCCAGCTGAATCAGTTTTGAAAATTGGATATTATTATTATGTGGCATTAGGTTTTATATGCCAGCCGCTTTAATAACCACCAGAGAAGTTAAATGTGGTATATATACATATTGGACAACCTAGGGAAAGTTTTGTGGTTGTTCTTCTGCTATGTACACCTGATATGTCTCACCCACCATACAAATATAATTGTCATAACTCCTATGAAACTGGGTCAGTTGCAATTTAGGGCTGTGCATTCATTTCACAACAAATGAGACGCCGAACCAGATGGAAACATTTAGTGCAATTTCATTAATTACAGAAGGAGCGGCGGGAATAATCGGTGGGTATGAATAGGGTTCTTGTTACTCCACTGGTACCTGTTCACCATCCTTTCAATGGGGTGGGGGGTGGGGGCTGCTTCTTTTGTTTAGGGCCAGCAAAGCCGCTTCCAGTGCCTCCTTCAGGCAGCTGCACCAATGACAACAAAATGTAAAAGAAACAAAAAAAGACACAATGCCTGTAAGAAATGAATACCGAAAGTAATGAGATGATTAACAAGAGCAAGAGGGAACTGGAAGTGGGGAAGGATCAACATCTCTATCATAAACAAACACATGTTTGTTTGGAAGGAAGTTTCATTGTGTGTAATGCACCTTGATCCCATGAGCTGTGTTAAGGATTGCAGCCTCAGACACAGCAGAATATAGCCATTCTGATTTTATTCCAGCAAGATATATGTGATAAAATCATAGAACCAAAGAGTTGAAAGGGACCACCAGGGTCATCTAGTCTAACCCCCTGCAAATGCAGGAATCTTTCACCCAACCTGGGTCTCGAACCCAAGACCTTCTCTACCAACTGAGCTATCTCAGGTGATGTTTGAAGAGAGCCATAGCCATGTTAGGCTTATTGGAGTTCACCAAAGGAATGGTACTGCTACAAGTCTTTCCACATTCTGAATTCCAGATAAGCTACTTGGGAGTATTTTAAGAACTAGTGAGGAGTGTCAGGGCCCTTTGATGGGGACTTTTCTTTTCTCATCTGCCCCCAATAACTGAAAATACACGTTGGCATTCCAAGCACATTGACAACAGGGCAAAAATCATTAGGGCTCTTTGTTGACTTTGGGCAAAGCATGAATCCAAACCAAAGAGGCTCATTTCAGAGATGTTTGGGCCACTTTGGAATCTGCAGCAACTGAGGCCCCAAACTATCTGAACCAAAGTGGGGAAGACTCCAAAGAACTGCTTTGAAGCACTGAAAAGGTATGTACATTCTGAAGCCTATTGGATGCATTTTTGAAACCTTCCCCAGCCTCTGAATTCTACAATGCAGTTCTCCAGGCGAGTAACCTGTACCTTAAGGCTGTGTGCATAAAATTGAAATATTAGTGAAACTAATATTTTAAATGCCTTACATTAGGGAAAACTGCTTTGCAAAAGTATATGCATTAGAAGAAGTTGCATAAAAATAAGACTTATTGGGAGAAATGCTAACAATACTGAAATACTGCTAACTTTTCATGAGGACCTTTTCTTTCAAAAAGAATTGCAAACTGATGTGGCCATATGGAGAGCTGGAGTAATGAGAAGCTGAAATGGACTGTTTTGCACACCCTGAGGCTCAGGTGTTCTAAGCACCTTAGAACCGACTCTCCTTCTTTCTTCTTACTCACCTGCAATTCATGCCAGAGCATTTTCATTTCTGCAAATAAATAAACAGAAGTTGCAACACACACACACACACACACACAAAATATAATTTAGCCTGTTTGTGGTTTTCTTAATGCAGAATCTGGGTTTGTTGATGTTGGGTGGAATTCAACATTGTGCTCTTCCAACCAATGTATCGGTGGAAGCATCCCAGCTTCCCAGATGGAGCAATACCCCCTCCCCCAAACACTGTTCTGGGGTTTTCTTCTGACACCAACACCCCGAGCCAATTTTTGAGGCTGCAGGGCATGTGGAGAATTTCCCATTGCAGAAGCAGAATTATTTGTGCTGGGCTTCCACTGACGGAACTGCTCACAGCAGACCAATTCACACTTTATGCGGCACACTCGCCTAACCCATAAATATGTGCCAATGAGCTACAGTCAGCTACACTCCCGATGGTGTATTCCTGGTGCCTAAACACTTTGGCATGTAAACTTACATTCTAGGGGGTCCAGGGCAGCAAGCATAGGTGCAAACGCATGTGCTTTATGAAGTTTGAATCCACACTCTAACGTGCCTAGCCATGGCTCTTGG